CCATGAGGTGCCATGTTGAACATCCAGTGGTCAGTATGAGAGAATTGTACTCAAAGCACCAAATTCTAACTGCTCTAATACAAGATACACAAATTTGTATGGTCCGGTCAAGCAGACAAAAACATGAACATGATGAATAGGACATGTGGCTTTGCATGGTTAAACGACATACAGCTGTTATCACTTAGGGTGTACTCACTTTTGTTGCCAGCTATTTTGACAATAATGGCTGTATGTTGAGTTATTTTCAGAGGACAGTAAATCTGTACTGCTGTACAAGCAGCACATTGACTACTCTAAAATATATCCAAGTTTAATTTCTATAGTATTGTCCCTTGAGAAGATATACTAAAATGGTTGCTGAAAAGTGAGGGGTGTACTCACTTTTGTGAGATACTGTATATGTAAGGAATAATGCATGGCTAGCTGTGCATTAAACGATTTTAATGCACAACGTGGAGGCAAAGAACCACCTGAAGCGAAGCAGAGTGCATTAAAGGGGTCATATGATGTTGCTAAAAAGAACATTATTTTGTGTATTTGGTGTAATGAAATGTTTATGCGGTTTAAGGTTAAAAAACACATTATTTTCCACATACTGTACATGATTGTTTCTCCTCTATGCCCCGCCTTTCTGAAATGCGTTGATTTTTACAAAGCTCATCGGTCTGAAAAGCTAGGTGTGCTCTGATTGGTCAGCTTTCCAGTGCATTGTGATTGGCTGAATACCTCAAGCGTGTGACGTAAATGTTACGCCGCTTACCATACTGTTGATGCCGTGTCCGGCCAGAGCGACGAGACAAGAACATTAAAACCTATTACAAACGAGGTATTTGTTGCATCCAGTGGGAACATAATTACTGATTATAATGACTTATACTGTATTTTTACGCGATGCGTTGCATTGCATTGTGCCGCGAATAGTCTAAAAATATCAAAGACAACATACACAATGACCTGAAGGATATGTGTGTTCATTCAAAGAAAGGTTTTCCTATGAATTAATTAGTAGAAAAGTCCATTTCTACTGTGCATTGTGCGTCTTGCTATGGAACATGCAGTATTTTCCCTACTTACATTCCTGTGGGTTATAAAACCAGTGATATCAGCATTAGTTGCCATGGGGACCAGGGGGGCCTGGTGTCGTTGCAGATTTATTGGGTGAGGGGACTGTGACGATTTGTTAATCTAATGAATAACTGATTTGTTAAATCAAATGAAAAATTGTGTTTTTGATTGGTCCAGATGCTACAAGTGCTACTCCACACTGCCCAAAACTCGCGTTTGAATCATCAGTGGCAAATGATAAAAGAAAACGTACTTACGTGAGTCAGAATTGCCGGCATTTTAGTCTAACGTTACTCTCCCAGGATAAGTAAACAGTCCTCCATAAAATGTGCCGGAGATCCACAGCACTAAGTTGAAGTATTCCCTCAGTGACCAGCACAGATCAGCTCTAGGCATGACAACGCGGATATCATCCTCTTTTGGAAGACCAAACAAAGTAGTTTCGCTTTCACAACGAAAAACACAGCGGCCTAGCATGAGCAAAAGCCCCGGCTTAGCGTGAGCTGAAGCCGGGCAAGAGTGAGCTGAGGCGGCGGGGTCGAGAATGGCGGTCCCGGCAAAGGAGCAGTGAAAACGGTGAAAGCCGATCCGGCGATCCACAGCACTAAGTTGATGTATTCCCTCAGCGACCAACACGGATCAGCTCTAGGCATGACGAAGCGGATATCGTCCTCTTTTGGAAGACCAAACAAAGTAGTTTCGCTTTCACAAAGAAGCACACAGCGTCTTCAGGACATGGCGGCAGCGGCAACAATACTACAGCGAGAATAAAAGTTACGCCTTCTTTCTTTGTGTGAACATTTGGGCGGCGTTATGCTAATCTTCCCACATAGTGAGGTAGATGTGTGGGGGCGTGTTCGAACGAGCCGTTTTAGGTAGGCGTGGCTGACTCTTAACGTTTATAAAGAATATCTCTTTGGATTTGAGACATTAGTCTTTGCAAATTTACAGATCTTTATGCACCGAGCTTGTAACACTCCAAAGAGAAAGGAAAAAATGAAATCGCATCATATGACCCCTTTAAAAATGGTCTTGTATTACATTATAATATTTATAGAATATTCAAACACCTCAATACTTTTGCATTTGTTTTTGCTGGCAATACAAAATGAAGCAACATAGAAAAAGGTCCTTTAGTTACCCATTTCAAAACAAATTCAAAAGTATTGAGATATTTGAATATTCAAACAAAACAAAAAAACTACCGCTGTGCAAACAGAATTGTGATTATTTTGAAACCGTTTCTGTCTGCCATTGGTTGTAAAAAGGTAGCCCCACCCCAAACTCCAAGCCAGTGGTTGAGGCAGAATTTGGCTTGATAGACCAGCCGCTCAGACAAACAGAGCAATGTTTAGATAGCTCCACAGTGTTTGCACTTTTCAGTTTCCTTATAGCTGACACTGCATGTTAAACTAGTTTAGGAGACTTCTAAAGTACTATGATCAGTTGTAAGTAGTAAAACTTTACTACAGTATTCTGTACTGTACTGATTCTTTGCACACTTAAACAAAGTAGATGAAGGCTCTTTGACTGGATGATTTTGCAGAAAGTTGTTTTTAAGAATAAGAATCAGCACAATAGTTGCTGCTGGTCAATGCATTTTGCTGTGGGTGAGATGTGGATGTTTTTTTCTTATTTGTCTGACTAATATGTTTTGCATCATAGCTTTTATCCAGTTGCCTAACACCTGTCAAACAATCAAGCCTCTTGATGAAATGCTAATATTTAGTTATTAGACAAGCCTATTGTGAACAACAGTGGTGAAATCTGATTGAATTCACCCATTTAAAGAAACAGCCCGGCCATGTGTAAATCAAATATCCAAGCTCTGTTTTTCTTTTTACCCATGGTTATATGAAAAATCAAGCTCTCTTTTTTGCCTATTTGTTTTTAAATGGGGAGAAAAACAAATGGTTGAAATTAGAGGTCGACCGATAGTGGATTTTGCCGATACCGATAGCTAGGTTGGACCACACTGGCCGATACCGAGTAATTAACTGATAGTTTTAAAATTGATACTGAACAAAAACTAAAATAGTGCTTTATTAAAAAAAACAGTACTGAACCATACTAGTAGTAGTAGTAGTAAAAAATATTAGGGATGCACGATATATCGGCCACTATATCGGTATCGGCCGATAAATGCTCATTTTTTCTGTTATCGGTATCGGCCTGATAAGAAAATTTGGCCGATATCTTAAAGCCGATAAATAATGCATTATTTCCTTCAGAGACACTTCAGATGCGCGCTGTTCGTTTGCAGCCTTTTGTGCAATTGTACATTGTAATATTGTGTTTATTTGATGTATATCTGATTTATCTCATATAGAATGCGTTTGGTTAAGTTAAAAGAGCGCTTCAGTTTACCAGTGATCATCTTTAGCTCAGCACACGCAGCCCAAACAGCAGTGCACAACATTAATAACTATGATTGGGAATGTCGTGTATATAAAATTCTAATGAGAACATTATTATAATAAAACGTTGTGAATTCTTTGGGTTTAGTTGCCGTGTTTCAGCGCGTTGATATGGGAAGAGCGCATCCACAACAGGATCACACATTCTGACTATAGCACGCAATAACTGCATAATTTTGTACATATATAAGTTGTAATATTATGTTTATGTTGTATTAATATTAATCTCAGGATGCATTTCCTTGAGTTAAATAAGCTGCCAGCAAAACGCTTCAGTTTACCATGTTCATTCAGCTCTTCAGCTTCAGCACGCGCAGCTCAACGGCTGCTATTTAAAACAGTGGTATTAATTTGTTACTTTTTCAAAATCATTGATACATTATTAATAACAACAACCACTTGTATTGTTCTCTTATTATTTTCATCAACAATATGGTTTAGTAATTAAAATCATTTAATTATTGTCCGTGCAGAGGCTATTCCGTTTTATTGATCTATGGCGCATTCATTTTGATTCTTTACACGTGTAATGATGTCCAGTGACTTGTTTGCATTATTTATGCATAATTTTATTTATTTGTAAGACTTTTTTATGACTAAATTTGGTAATGGGAGAGTAAAAATATTTTTAAAACGTACACCGTTCAAACTAGGCTGCTTATGTTGAAAAATAAAAGCGCAGCGCTGAGTCTAGGAGAACTCACCGGTATCACACACACTCCGGACGCGTCGCGTTCAACTCAAGCAGCGGTCTAAAACAGTTTATTTAATCACCAAATGGACACAAGTTTACTTCAAGAATGAACAATTTGGCATGGATGAGTTTGAAGTTTGGTGTTTAAAAATGGAGCAAACGGAAAGAGAAAGCGCAACCTATATCATAGCTCTATAAATGAAGCACACAGACTTTATTAGAGCCACAGAAAGACAAACGTTTTGCTGAAAATTCATTATGTACATTAACAATGATTCAGGACCAATATAATGTCATTTAAAGGAAAACTATGTGAATGGCGCTCTGTGGCGCGGCAGGATTTTCTGTCGGCTGCATTTAAATCCGCATCTGAAGTTTCCCGCTCTGTTCAGCATGCAGTATCACGTGTCTAAACAAATAGCACGTGCTGTCAGTGATTTCAACCACTAGAGGCCGCTCTCGCTCTGTGTAATGACAGCAGACCCGTCTCAGCTGCTCCAGGAATGGATGCAACCCGGAAAACTATCGGCATGGATTTTTGTAGATAAACGATAGTTCCAGCAATCAACTATCGGTGCCGATTAATCGGCAAAACCGATACATCGGTCGACCTCTAGTTGAAATACGCCCATACCGATGTGGCAAACCCCATTGCTTTAACACTTGGTTCTCTTCATGTGCTGATGCTCTTTTCTTAGATTTGTCTAATAGATTTGATTTCCCAAATAATGCTTGAATAAATGGTATAATAGAAGTGTAATAGAAGTAAATAAATACAGGAAATAAAAGTGTTGATGAGGCTGATGTTGTTTGACTTTCAGGGAGTCGTGCCTATGTGCTGCTGTCCCTCAGCCAGCAGGATGGCATCGAGCAGCACATGGACTTTGAGAACCGCTACACCCTGCTGGAGCTTTTTGCAGAGACCACCTCCTCTGAGGAGCACGGCATCTCCTTTGAGGGCATCCATCTTCCCCAGGTACTCGCCTTCATTTCCACTCTAGTCTGAATAACTGTCCAAAACCGAGTGAGGTACCTTGTTGTCTGCTGTCTGCAACTTCCCTCTAAGGCAGCATCCTAACCCAAATTGAATCCTTTAAGCGATGATTTATGACAGTCCTCTTTGGCAGCAGCTCATGCCACACACCAAATACTACTTCCATGAAGTACATGAGATGCAATATGCAATTGATTTTTAATTTGACAAAACAAGGTGTCTTATAAGCCTTTATGTTGGCAGTATACCTGTGCTACCTAAGTTGGCAACTTACTAGCTTTTGGAACAGATCATTTGTGCTTTTTTGCTAAGAGTGCCTTTATCAATGGTAGACACATTGTATAGCTTGAGGGCTAGTGACATGAAGTATTTTTTATTTATTTATTTATATTTCATATCTATTTATTTAGAAATACATATCAACTGAGGTATAACAAGGTATAATTTTGAAAATGTAATGTCCTGATATTATAAGGAAAGAAAATGCCTCTTTTGGAGAAATGTATTTATTATAAATTCATTATTATTTCTTAGAGGAAAAAACATGCTGTGAAGCAGTTTTGTATAAATATTTGAATCAATCCTATTATAGTTAAATACAATTTTAGAAATAAAAAACTTATTTGATTTAAAAAAGATATAGATGTATATTTGTTTTCAGCTAGATGCCAAAGAAACATTTCTCATTTTCATTTAGTTTAACTTAGTAATAACTAAAATTGAAATAAAATTAAAAACTATTTAGACATAAAAAAACTAATAATAATGACAAAAACCCAACAAAATGACAAAATTCACTAAAATGAAAAAAAAAAAAAAAAAATGCTATAATAGTATCTCAGTGATACTAAAATAATAAATAGTAATGAATAACCCTGATTAGAATTTTTTTTCTGAAAGTTGTGTCCAAAGATTAGCCTACATTTCTTAGAACTGTTGCTGTCATTGACCCTGTACAAATGGTTTTGTATAAGAATTTGCTTTGTTTGCTGTAGATTCCAGGCAAGCTGCTTTTCTCTCTGGTGAAGCGTTACTTGTGCGTCACTTCATTGATGGACAAGCTAAACACGGCAGGGGTGGAGCCCACCTCTGAGCGTCAGGATGTTGGCCCCTCCTCCTCCACGGCAGCCTACCAATCAGAGCACACTCGTGTGCAGCGGGAGTTCGAGTTCACCATGGCCATGGCCAACCTCATCTCGGAGCTGGTGCGTGTCATGGGCTGGGACCGCAACCGGCAGCCGCCCCACACCTCCTCGAGCGCAAGCAGAGGGGTTGAGGAAATAAATAACGAAATCCAGAAACACCCCGTCCGCTCCATCTTTCAGCCACGCTTCTCCGCTTCGTCTCCCATCATGGCCGCTACAGCAATAGCTGCGGCGGTCACGCCACCAAAGAAGAAGAAAACGACAAATGGTTTCAAGACGCGTTCTGACTTCACTTCTCGTTCAGCTTATGTGGAGTTTGTGCAGGATAACCTGAAGAGTGGCATGGTGGTGCGTATGCTGGAGGACTATGAGGAGGTCAGCGCTGGGGATGAAGGAGAGTTTCGCTACAGTAACGACGGCTCGCCGCCGGTGCAGGTTAGTGCTGTGTGAACGCATAAAGTAGTGTAGACACGGAAAAACTTTAGCTTATGTTTGTTTTACAAGCACTATCGAAATTTGGCAGTAATTCCACTCTCATTTACTTTATACAGATAATTGCATTGTGAAATGGATTGATGTGTATACATGATGTTGTTCTGCTGTCATATCATTAAATTACTTTTTATGAAATAAAAAGAGCCAAAAGATTTGAGTAGTAGCAATAGCCTTTGTTTTAGGTAATACAGTAACACATACAGGTCATTTAAGGACAATAAATAAAAATTGTAATGGTTTGTTAAACTATTAGTTTGAATTGAATTCATGGCTAAATGTATGTTTTTGCTGCTTAAATATAGAATCCAGACAGATGCTGTTTTCTGCAACAGTATCTTTTCTCTTCTTGCACAAAAACACACAATGGAAAACAATTAATTTTATGCAAACCTGTAATATGTAGGGCTGCACGATTAATCGAATACGATTGTCCTGCGCATCTTGTCAGTAAAGCTGGTTCTGTGATTAGTAGTAAATCTCCAGCACATGCTTTCAGATGGAGCAGCATTTACTACACAGAGCCGTAGTTCACTGACAAGCTACGCAAACAGCTTTCATAATCGCAGAATGATTTCTTTGATTTCATAATCGCATGATTAAATCGTCTGCGATTATGAACGCGATATTGCGTAGCTTGTCAGTGAACTACGGCTCTGTGTAGTAAATGCTGCTCCATCTGAAAGCACGTGAAAATACCTCATTTAATAACATGTTTTTATTCCAAACTAACTTCATAACGTCAGTCGAGTGTTTGAAATAAATCCTTCTGTGAGATGATGTGGCTTCTTACACAGAATAAGGCACGCAACATATTTCATAGTATTCTAAGCAGTGATAAAGGCATTGCATTTTTATATACTTTATTATAATAAAAATTATAATAAGACGAACTCAGATAAACCATAAATTGTCGTAGTTGTGTGTTTATTAGTCACGTTGAATTAATGAAAGCAGTTAAATCTTCTGTCTATTCAGCAACTGCTATAGGGATTTCCTGGGTTTCTTCTGCAAGGTGTATTAGAAGTTTCCACGCGAGAGCGCCCTCTGGCCTTCGGATGGAGATTTACTGCTGATCACAGAACTGTGCTTTACTGAAAGATACGCATGACAATCGCAGATTCTGTCTAATCGCGATTTATCGCCTTTGCGATTTAATTTCGATTAATCGTGCAGCCCTAATAATATGTAAACCTAACTAAATGCAAACCTACTTTTCGGATAGAATTCTCAAGTTAAAGTTTATTAAAAGTGTACTGTCCGGCCACTAATTTGCATTTTCATTCAGATTCAGAATTTGTTTCATTCAGTTTGTTCTTGATGTAAAAACAATTGATTAGCTATAATTCCTTTGGAAAGTCATGGAAATGCATTATTTGCTCCCATTTTTGTATAGCAGTTTATTTTATAATAGTTTACTTCTGACCTGTTTTTGCATATGTACTAGTGCTGTCAATTGATTTAAAAAAATTAACTACTTAATCGCACATTTTTTTCGGAGCGATTTCATCTCGCGATAATATTGAGTTTTTAAATATACTTTTATATTGCAATAATTTCACATTCAATCTTCAAATTAATGTAGAAATCTCAGGCGTTTCCTCCGAGGATACTGGCTGAGATCTTGTGAAGTGTGCATTTGTATCCTGCATGAACGCGTGTTTTCTGCGTGACTAAACATTAATTAAAATAAATAAAATTATATCGGCCATCGGCCACCCTGCTTTCCAAGATATCGGCATCGGCTGTCAAAAAAACAATATTAGTCGACCACTAGCCTGTGCAAACCTTGTTGAAGCCTCTCATGTTCTGGCTTTTGCAGGTGTACTGGAACTCCCTGTCCAGGACCTACTGGGTGCACTGGCATATGATTGAAATTCTGGGCAACGGCAGCGGAGGACAGGCTGAGAAGGAGACTCAGGAGAAGGCCTCCTCCCTCACAGAGACACTCAAACTCACTACTGGTAAGACAACATTCATGAAGAGCTCTCCCACTGAACCGTACTATCGTTTTTGTGTGTCCATCACTTTATATGAAACCAGCAGTGTTTTCTTCTGTGTTTGTGAACATGGCAGTGAGTCAGACGTTCTTCTCAAAGCCCCCCGGTGGGCTGTACACATTGCCTTACCTGATGGAGGGCTCTCAGGATGACGCAGGGACCCTGAGCCGTGCTGAATGGTGGGAAGTGCTCTTTTTCATCAAAAAGTTAGAACCCAAGCAGCAGCAGGAGATCAACAACATCCTGCGACAGAGCCTCGATGAACCGGTACTCACCATCTCTCCTGCACTCTTCACACAGGGTAGAATAGGCTAGCAAAAACTAAAATTTAAGCACATTTTTGTTCTTTCTTCTTCTTTCTTCTTTTATTCAGTTCCTGTGTCCCACCTACAAAGCTTTTAAGAAAATTTAAAACAAAGGATTTAGAAAAATTTTAAACAAACGAAAATCATCCAAAGCCTGAATCTCATGAAGCCTCTCAAGATAATGTGTAGGTCATATTTCAACCCAGAATCAAAGGAAAGAAAGGTTGTTTTTGCTGCTGTTGTTGTTGTTTGAACTGTGATATTTGTAATAATTTAAGTACCAGTTCTCATTACTCTAATGCAAATCAACCTCATTTAAATTGTAAAAAAGGCTAAACAGTTAAGTTTTATTCTAATATTAATATGTATTATTGTGCATCATCCTAGTAAATTATATATGTATATAAATATAAAAGTTTGACTTATTTAAAGGTTTAATCAGCAGGGATGCATTAAATTGATCAAGTGACATTTCTGTTTCAAATAAATGCTGTTCTTGAACTTTCTATTCATCAAAGAATCCTGAAAAAAAAATTACATCAGTTTCCACAGTTTTCAAAATATTAAGCAGAACTGTTTTCAACATTGGTAATAATCGGAAATGTTTCTTGAGCAGCAAATTAGAATGATTTCTGAAGGATCATGTGAGACTGAAGACTGGAGTAATGATGCTGAAAATGTATCTGCATCACAGGAAGAAATTACATATTAACATAGAAAACAGTTCTTTTGAATTATAATAATATTTCACGTTGTTATTATTGTATTTTTTATCAAATAAATCCAGTATTGTTAAACATAAGAAACTTTCATCACATTAAAAAACTCGTACTGACCCCAAACTTTTGAACGGTGGTATATATTGTATAAATTAAATTGATTATGTATCTGTGTATTGTATTATTATGGCCATTGGCCAACCTCTTACCTAGATATCAGTATTAATAGAAAAAATGAAGGTTATTTATCAGTATTAAAAGAAAAATAAAAGAAGATTATTTATCTCCTCACAATGGCAGTGTCAATCTACATGTTCCAGATGAACTAGGCAATGAATGGGTTTTATTCATGTTATCTTTTCTGCTCTCTCCTGGTATCTTTCAGATGGTAGAGCTTGACGAGCCGACTCTCATCCAGCTGTCTCTGACGAGTGAGGTGGCGCAGAAAGTCCTCCACTACCTGAAACAAAATTTGCAGGCATCTTGTCTGGGTGATCTGCTCTGCTCCCACACTTTCACCAAACACTACCTGAACTGTGGAGGTGCAGGCCTCGAGGGTGAGGAAATGCTGATGGATAGCTCGCTCGGAGACCAAGGAGCCTCATCTTCTTCATCGCTGTCCTCAGCCACAGCATCATCCTCTTCCTCAGCCTCTTCCTGTACCATGGGCTCTGTGTCCAAGAAAGCTAAGAAAGAGATCCCAGCAGACACGGGCAGCGGTGGCAGCGAGACAGAGAGTGAACTTCCCACTGAAGACGACACAAAGTATCCTGATGACCTGGACGAGAAGATGAAAGGCAAGCCTTTGCTTTGTAAATGTTGTGGCTCTGCTGTGGATGTGATTGTTAGTGGAACCTCTTTTTTTGTTTATAGTGATATATTTGCTGAAGGCTAACAAGAACTTGTCATTAAAGGGGGGCTGTTAGGCACAACACGTATGAGTTTACTATTAATGTCAGAAATTGCTGTGTTAATAATACAGAGTTCAGCTGATGTGAAGTAACCGGTGTGCATTATATATATACTGGTAGGGCTGTATTTCTGCAATTTGGAAACCGCGGACAGAATCATGGAATCCAGTCATAAAAATGTAATTTATAGTATAATGCAGGATGTCAGAAAATTTGGCAAAGTTTAGGATGAATGTTAAAGGGGTCATATGATGTTGCTAAAAAAGAACATGTTGTGTATTTGGTGTAATGCAATGTGTTTATGCCGTTTAAGGTTTAAAAAAACACATTATTTTCCATATAATGTACATTATTGTTTCTCCTCTATGCCCCGCCTTTCTGAAATGCGTCGATTTTTACAAAGCTCATCGGTCTGAAAAGCGAGGTGTGCTCTGATTGGCCAGCTATCTAGTGACAGCAAATCTTCCCACATTGTGACGTAGATATGTGGGGGCGTGTTAGAACGAGCCGTTTTAGGTAGGCGTGGTTGACTCTTAACTTTTATAAAGAATATCTCTTTGGATTTGAGACTTTAGTCTTTGCAACTTTACAGATCTTCTTTATGCACCAAGAGCTTGTAACACTCCAAAGAGAAAGGAAAAATTGAAATCGCATCATATGACTCCTTTAAAAGTATGGCTGTAAACTTAATCAGATCGCAATATTAAAGTTCAAATTAGATACATTTGTATTAAATCATAAAACACAATCAAGAAGAAATAAAACATAATTTGGGAAAAAATTAAAAAGATTTCATGGGGTCTTATATTGGCTACTTAGTGACTCATCTGCTCAGAATTCAGAGTTAAAAGTATCCACTTTGCCCTTTTACATTTACATTCATTAATTGAACATGCTGTTATCCAACATGTCTTTTGGTGAATGATTATTGATGCACAAAATTTTTTCCCTCAACAGGAAATTATGCATTTCACAGAGTGTGTTCTGAGCATTAAGCAGCAAAATTTGCTGGCTGATAACTCTTTATAATGTAGCTAATAAGGGTTCTTCATATGGGGTGCTTGGATCCTCCATTGGGCTGCATTTCCGTTCTCAGGATTTGATGATGACATTGATATTTGCATACGATTATATTTGCATAGTCTGTCTTCCTTAAATTTAGTCAAACTTTTACACTTCACAGTGAGAATGTATTGCATTTAATAAAAATATAAATAAATAAACTGATAGATCCATCCTGACCAGTACTGAGAATAGTTATAAGTACTGTGACAATGTGGCTAGCAGATGATTTATCGGACATAACAAATCTTACCAAATTTTGAATAAAAGAAGTATGTAGACTCAATGTACCTGATCAGTTAAAGACAATGTTTCATGATAATTGCCATTCTGAGTGTTGTAAAATACTATAAACAAAATACAGCCACATCCATCCAGCAACATATATCTCATCGAGCCACCAGTTTCTTTGTCAAATGATTCATTGGATGAAAGCAGTGAAGTGTTTAGAGCAAGCAGATGTACATTTCTTCCTCTAAGCAAGTGTTTTCTGTTCTCTGCAGTGTTCAGCAGTCCAAAGGTGCAGGGTAAGAAGAGCTCCCTAGAGAAGATGGGGGAGGTGGTGGACATCATGACGAAGAGTAGCTCAGACTCAGGACTGCAGCTCGCCGGCATGAAAGTCATCAGTAAGATTCTGGAGGAGGAGGGACCTCAGGAGAGGAGCACCCTCAGATCGGACTCGGCACAAACCATCCGGTGAGACTCCGAGACCATAAACACTGGCTACTCTCAGCTCGGCATTTTCTTATTTCTGATTTCTTTAACTGTAATCGAATGTCTGAAATACACTTTAAACATTATTACAGGTGCTAAGAAAACACTGTCTTTCTTGCATCACCTTATGTAATATGTGGAATTTATTTTGCAAAATATATTATATTCAAATTTAATATTAGTCAAAAATGCTTTTTGAGGATGTCTCAGCCTTGCATAATAACCTTACAGTTTTAAAAGACCCTAACATACTAACATTGACCACTCGTATATCTCTCTGTTATTAATGAAATTTTCAAATTTCAAATTTTTGGGGGTCTCAGAAGTATAAGTAATATAACACAAAACGTAGTACTGTAGATGTGCATTAAATAAATAAAAAAAATTGATTGCTAGATTTATGATCTCAGTAACTTGAATCTAAGGTTGGGTACCAACCCTCTACATTGCGAGTAAATCACTTGCATATGTGACTAAATCTTACTCTGGGTGACTAAATAACGAATCATATGTGTGTGTGTGTGTGTGTGTGTACCTACTTAACCATATTTTGGGGACACATTTGTACCCAAAAGTGAGCAAAACCTGGCACAATCAGCAAAAACCTAAATTTGTGGATGTCCTCATTTGTAAAACTGTTATAATAATAAAGTAAACCGTTTTTTTTTTTTTACTTTTGAAATTGTAGAAATGCAGAAAGTTTTCTGTGAGGGGTAGTGGTGGGTTTAGGTTAAAAAGTGTATAACTATCTGTATATATATAAAATAGAAGTCTATGCAATGTCCCCATTTAGATAGCTAAGTAAACGTGTGTGTGTGTGTGTGTGTGTGTGTGTAAAATAGTATATCAGTCTGGCGAGTAAACAAAAAAATGTACTAGCCAATGGCGATTATATTGCCAAGGTGTGCATAGAGGGTTGGGTACCAATATGGCACCGGTACCTATGTAACCTGTATGTACTAGAACCGAATCCGAACGCAGATTTCGGTGCCATGCCTGAGCGATCTATTAAAATATTTGTCCTCTGGTTCTCCAAAATGGATGTAAGAAACATCATCGGCACCGCACAGGAAAAATCATTTCCCAACTGAGAAAATGCACGTGAAAAGTCGAAAAGCTCTAATAATACAAATCCAACACATCTTTGTAGTAACGAGAGTGTCCATGTTGTTTTCACATTCCGACTTAAAAGCACAACTCGGGAAATGAGAGCATCCGAGGAGCGCGTGAATGCAGTAATTACACTTGCTCTGATGGCAGCAGGTAGCCTTACGTTAACTCAGCTAAACATGCTTAAATTAAAATGCCTAAAGCTAAACCTCCCTTGTATTCACATTTCTAAACATGTTGTCCAACAAAAGATAACATTATAACCTTTTTACTCCACAACACCAGTCAAGTGCTTCCTTTTGTGATCTGATGAGGCTTCTTGTCACAGAATGATGCAGAAAATATGTTCCATATGCTACTTTAAAAATAATACATCGATTATAAATTAGGGTGACCCATACGTCCTCTTTTCCCTGGACATGTCCTCTTTTTGGACCTACAAAAATGCGTCCGGCCGGGATTTCTTAATTGCCCAAAATGTCCGGGATTCGGCTGTTTTCTTAATCCCACTCCCGCTGAATCTCTGACCATTGACTGCCGCCTGCTCCCGCAACATGTGTTTCGCTCCAGCGATTTTCGTGTCCACTCCTTTAAACATTCTGATATTGTGTATAATTTTGGCGCATCAGGGAGCCTCACTCAGGATGCGGAGTATGTCAATATTTTTGAATGAGCATTTGTGCTGCTTACTTTACTTTCGATTTCACAAACACACGCACTCTGTGTAAAGGGAGCATATCTTACAAGATCAGATATTTGTCAATGAGCTCAGGATCTGTTGAGCAGCAAATACTCCAGCATGGTCTTGTCAGTCATCTCTCCTTATTCTCGACCTGTGATCACTCAAAGCTGACTCCGGTAGCTCTTGTTGGATGCAGGGTTGCCGAGTCCGCGCTTTTTCCACAGAATTGGACTACTTTTAAACTATTGCCATGGGTTGATTTTCCCAAGTGGGTTAAAGGTTTGAAATATTGCATAAATTACATTTGACTGAAATGCTTGTATTGAAACATTTTGCATTCTACCTATGATAAAACTTTCATGGACTTCTACATTAACTGTTCCCTCCTGGTGGAATGACCTGCCCAGCTCAATCCAAGCAGCTGAGTCCTTAATAATTTCAAGAAACGGCTGAAAACACATCTCTTTCATCTTCATTTGACCCTCTAACTCTAGCACTCTCTATTCTAATGCTACTTCTAATTTTATCTGCTTGTTTTTTTTCTAACATTTGCACTCTCTATTCTATTTCTATTCTAATGACCAATCCATAATTTTTGGGGGGGATTTTTTATTTATTTATCCTTTAAGTATTGGTTCAGGCACCGGAACCGTTTTAAAAGTATCGATTTGGCACCGGTATATAAAAATTAAAAAAAACGATACCCAACCCTACTTAAATCCCCCAATCAGAACTTTTTTTTTTCTTAAATTAATAAATGTTCTGCCCAGTGGTTTACTTAATCTTCTGAGCCTGGCAACCTCAACCTGGATATTAAAATCACTGACGATCATAAATATCTTGGGATAGTAATCAATGACAAACTAAGTTTGATTAATGTGATGTGTTTTATTGTGACTGTTGTCTGTAGATTATGTATTGTTTGTATGTGTTGTGCCTTACTCTGTTTGCCTTTGTAGAGTCTCAAGATGAGCATGACTTTAAGGACACCGAGCTGAAGATGTTGGTGGTGAGTCTAAAGGAAATGCCAGCCACTAAAGAGGTTATACTGACCCTGGAGCAGCTGCTCTGTGACGACGCCTCCCAGCTGGAGGAAGAGAGAAGCGAGGTAACGCGGAGCAGAGACACCTTCCAGGACCTCATCCGCCTCATGGACCAGCACAGAGCGGATCGGGCTGCGCAGCTGTCCATCCTGAGGTGAGCCCTTGACTTAAATAGAATTAGCTAAGAAATAGATAACCGCTATTTCAAGCTAGTTTGAGGTAGATGCAATACATGCATACATATTTATTTATTTATTTATTGAAATGGTTCAAAATAAATGAAAATAAAACAGAGTTATTAGAGTTTGGAGATGACATCCAAGAAAAATAAATGCATATTTTTTATATTCCTTAAACTAGTTAAATTCTTGATTTCAATATTGTATTATTGATTTCTTGACTGTATTGATGATATTGTTTTATTTGCTAATAATGCATTGACTCTTTCATACTCCACAGGATTTTGAATAAGTTTTTAGATAACTACCAGGAGGATCTGTTGCCGTGGCATGAGAGTATTGAGCCTTGCCTATCATCTATGACAGCCTTTGTCAGTGACAGAGAGGTACTTTCCCTTCATTTAGCTTTATAAGATCATGGTTTCATAATGGTAGTATTTCATGCCTCTTTATCCCCACTTAGGTCGTACAGCAGTTCATCCGCTTCTTGTATCGACTTGCGTCTCTGAATAAAGACTATGCTGTTGTGATGTGTCGGCTGGGCACCAAAGAGGCTCTTCTCAAAGCCCTGGACAAACACAGCACCAGCCTGCTCATGGTCACGGAGCTGCGGGACCTGATCAACGACTGTGAGAAGTATGCCAGCCTCTACAAGAAAATGACCACCAGTGTGCTGGCAGGATGTATACAGGTAAAGCCTGTTCAAAAATAGATATTTTCAAAATCAACTAGTCTGAGTTCTCGGAGTTGCCTGAACAACCATTCTACTAAATATACTAGGGAAGCCTTATATAATTAGGCTGGTTTCTGGGTCACCTGACCTCGAACAGACTAGTTCCTTAGAAGGCCTTTACATAAATAGTTAGATGGAGCATAACAAAGCCGGTGTTATCAGATGGTTCATTCCTAGAACATAATGAGGACATGTTTAATGGTTTGTTAGACTATCAGGATAATTAATAGACATGTTCACTTATTTACACGCTCATATCTGTATCTTTAGATGGTCCTCGGTCAGATTGAAGAGCATCGGCGCAGCCATCAGCCCATCAATATTCCCTTCTTTGATGTGTTCCTGCGCAACTTGTGCCAAGGTCTGTTCCTAAAACACTTGATGTAAAAAGTAATCATTAAAGGGGTAATAATTTTATTATTTTCACTTATAATGTTAGTGTGATTTTACATTAAAAAACTATTTATAAGCAGTGTTGGGGGTAACTCATTACAAGTAATGTGAGTTACGTAATCAGATTAAATTTTTCAAGTAACTAGGAAAGTAACAAGCAATCCGATCCGATGGACCAACAAACCAGGCTATATCACAATGTATGATGGGTAATTACGTAAGTTCCGTGAAAAGCTTTGTTGTTTTGCTAATACTTCAAAATGAACCTGTGAATGTCTGTGGGTGAGCACGTCTTCGCCATTCAAAATCAAAGCGCACTTTTTCATTTTATAATGCCATATTATTGCTCTTCTTCCTAGTAGGTGCATTTTAAAAATGTTTTCCCGATGAATCCTGGACTCCTGCTCAAAATGATAAATGAATATAACGACAGCTACAAAAAAAACCCAACAATAAGCCCGCGAAGCTGCTGTCATTCCATCCTGACGGATGACAGCCGTGACAGTGGTGGAATCCCAGAAAATAAACCGTGAAACGTTGACCAATGAGAGAACAGTTTACTCGCGCGTGACTTGTATTAACAATTTTGGTCCGTTTAGAATCTTAGCCGTGTGAAAGCAAACCGCACCAAGAATAAAAAGTAACATTGTAATAATTGTAATCCCTGTTTCGGAACAAAGCAATCGATCTACATGTGTGAAAGCACAGTAAGACTCGCAAGTAAACGCCCCCTGCTATGATTGGCTTACAGTTTTGCTTATTAAAATAACAGATGGACGCTGCTGTACTCTGAAAACAACATGGGTCATTTGGGTTAAAAACGTATAAATGCTCAGTATATATCAAATGGTCTGGAACAGACAATGCAATAGTGGTAAAAGCACGTTCACTCACACTTATCTGTTGCGACATTACTTTTGGATCCACTCTAGTCAGACTCGGCACTGCATCATCCTTTACTTTCAGTCTCTCTGAAAAGCCTGCATCATACGGTCTTGTTTAAAAATGAATCTGTAGCAAAGTAAAGCAAACGGTGTTTCACTGATGCGATCTGGAGCTCTTTGTTAATTTTACGTTGTGTTTACTCCAGACGCGAGCGGCGCAATGCGAGTATAGACAACAGAACCCATTATAATCAGCGATTCTGTCTACACTGGATGCGACACAACAAATCCATGACAGTAAACTGATGTCCCGCTCTATTTCTGACATACTCCAAGCATTCACACCGCTTCTGACCTGAAAGAGAAATTGATTTCGCGACAGCAGCGCTCTCGTCCGATTTAGATGCGTTATGGTATGGTTCTGTTGATGGAGTAATCCTGTGTTTGCGCCTCTCTAGTATTTCCTCTCCTACTACTACAAGCACGTATCGGTGGGCGGGGCTAATGAAGCAGTGATGTAGAAGCAGGCGTTGATCTCCTCCTGCGGAGGCGGTGCTTATCCACACTATTACGTCATAAAGTGTTACATTCCAAAACCAGTCGAGAAACTTATTTCTGACATACTCCAAGCATTCACACCGCTTCTGACCTGAAAGAGAAATTGATTTCGCGACAGCAGCGCTCTCGTCCGATTTAGATGCGTTATGGTATGGTTCTGTTGATGGAGTAATCCTGTGTTTGCGCCTCTCTAGTATTTCCTCTCCTACTACTACAAGCACGTATCGGTGGGCGGGGCTAATGAAGCAGTGATGTAGAAGCAGGCGTTGATCTCCTCCTGCGGAGGCGGTGCTTATCCACACTATTACGTCATAAAGTGTTACATTCCAAAGCCAGTCGAGAAACTTAAAGGATGGTTTTTATAGTACATTGACCTGTTATATGTCAAAAGATCAAGGGAAATTTGATTTCTCAGTTCATGACCCCCTTTAAAGCAACAATTCACTCAAAAATCTCAGCTGCACTTCCACTAATGATTGCAAACTCACATTCGTTTTAAAGTGCATCAGCCGATAGATATAAGCAAGTCCCTGCCCTACATATTTTGTTTTTCGATAATTTGTTAAACATGCATGTATGTCACAATGTGGAAGAAAAAATCTGTTGCTACTTCCCTTTCATCATGACTTTAAAGTTTTCTTAAATCATGAGATAACTTTGGGTGAGAATCACCATCCACATTGTTTTATAGAAGAAAAAATCCCTCTTTGTACCTACCAAAACTAAATAATTTGAACTACATGTAATAATATAAAATATTCATTTAAAGCCTTTGCTTTACAAAAGCTGTGCTATGTTACTAGTAGAGGTTTAGGTATAACTATCCCAGTTACCAAACGCTTTCATTGATTTGATGGTGTGATGTTCTCCAGGCTCCAGTGTGGAACTGAAAGAGGACAAATGCTGGGAGAAGGTGGAGGTCTCCTCCAATCACCATCGAGCTAACAAGCTGACAGACAAAAACCCCAAAACCTACTGGGAATCCAACGGCTGTACCGGCTCCCATTTTATCAACATTTACATGCATAAAGGGGTGATCATCAGGTATGCTGGCCTAGCTACTCTTTATTTTATGCTGGCCTAGCTACTCTTTATTTAGTGAATGCTGCTAAAGGAAACTCTAGATTATCGTTATGGCAACAGCTAATCAGTGCTGGAAATTAATGCCTCAAATTCAAGATAAAGGGACCAAAAAAATCGCCTAAATGAAATTGTTTAATGCATGATATAATTAAGCAATAACTTTATTTATTTTTTTAACAGTTCAATAAACAACAAACTCAAATGTTCAATAAACGTTAGTCACAATATTGTCATAAACTCACTTGCTTTGTTCTGGTGGATTTCTGTATTCAAAATTGCACGACATTGTTCATTCATTTGTAACTGCCCTATTGTGTCTTACTGGCATATATTTAATAAGGTTTGATAAAAATTTGTCCTTGTAAAAAAATTTGACCTAGAAATCAGCTTAAGGGGGCAAAAATTGCCCTTAAATTGAAGAATACATTTCTGTCACTGCAACTGATGAAAAACTCCTTATCATTTTCTTCATTCACAGGCAGTTGACTGTGCTTGTAGCCAGCGAGGACTCGAGTTACATGCCTGCTCGAATTGTAGTTCTAGGAGGGGATGATCCCACAAACATCAATACTGAACTCAACACTGTGAGAAAGCTCTTCTCATGTATCTCTCAGGTGTGATGATTGCACATTGAACTTTAAGATGATACTTTCTTTTCTTTTTTTGTGTTGAACAGGTAAATGTGGCACCCTCCGCCAGCCATGTGGTTTTGCTGGAGAATATGAGCCGCTTCTGGCCCATCATTCAGATCAGAGTCAAAAGATGTCAACAGGTTAGACCTATTGAATGAACTGTGGCAGAACTTGCCTGAAGTTCTACATAAAGCCCGAGGTGTTTTTAATTCCACTTCTAGTACAAATTATGTTTCTTCCTGTCGACAGGGTGGCATTGACACACGAGTGCACGGGTTTGAGGTTCTGGGCCCAAAGCCCACATTCTGGCCGGTGTTTAAGGAGCAGCTGTGCTGCCGCACTTATCTCTTCCATACGACAAAAGCTCACACCTGGTGCCAGGAGATCCTGGAGGACAAGAACCAGCTGCTGCAGCTTTTTAGCAAGTGAGACCTTCTGCCATAGAGCAGAATTAAGAGGATAGGAGGTGTTACTGCTGCTGATTCATTTTAAAACCTCTTATATTTATGTGCGTCTCTCTGGGCTTCAGGTTAAACAGTGCCCTGAAACATGAGCAGATGTTTGCTGACCGTTTTCTGCCTGATGCCGAGGCCGCAGAGGCTTTAGGCCGGACCTGCTGGGAAGCTCTCATCACCCCCATCGTACAGAGCATCACTATCTCAGGTAACCAACACTTACCTGACTAAAGTCTGGTCCACTTTCCAGGACCTTCTGACTAAGTACCGCCCACTTAAAAAGGAAGAGACCATCTGAAAAATCCATAAAAATCAATAAACCACTGTTTTTGTTTTTACGTGCTGGTTACAGAAGTGTTTATGTGAAATAGATTGATGCAACAAAAAAAAAAACACGTCAAATTATGGTGTCAATCTTCTGAAAAGTGCTTGAATGACTGCAATCCAGTATCTTCATGTGAAGTATAAACTGTTGGTGGTCCAATTTCTGATCTTCTTTATAACAGAGACTTCTACTCTCAGCCCTCTGTCCTGGTTGATGAATGATTATTTGGAGAACGCCGATTCCTCCAAGAGATGTAAGAGCTCAGCCTCCGTCTTCAACTCCCGTGTGCGGCGTCTCACTCATTTGCTTGTCCATGTGGACACCAGCACAGTTGATACAGAAGAGCTCAAACCTCCCATCAAATCCAGTGAGTGCCTTTAAAACAGTAAAAACTACTATACTTCATTCTAGAGACTGGAGTGCCACCATCATCTGTGGGGTACTTTTTATTTATATGTGAGACATGTTTGTTAGTTTCATGGTGGTCCTATCTAAGTCTTCTCTGGTAAGCCAGAGAACAGGTGTGCTATTTTTAAACCACCTTCTGTAGATTGTGTTAAATGAAGGCTTCTGTGTTTTAAGGTATTTTTCTTGTTTTCAGAAGGTATCAACAGAAGCAGAGATTTGAAGAGTAAGTAATAGTGTAGATGCCAATGTTTTTCTATTTTGACTTCATTTTATGTATTTTGCAGCCCCCCATCCATCTGACAATGCCTCTTAATTATTAATTTATATTCTTATTTAATATTTTTATTATTATCAGGTCCGCTGTCTTTAAATTTAATTTTGAATGGCTTTGTCTTCCCATGCAAATTGCTGGTAGGGCTGCACAATTTGATAATTTACGGCTTGAACTGCAATTTGAGAAACATTTCATGTGTTTCAGATTCTTGGATAACAAAATATCAAGAAAAAAAGCATAGACCGTTTTGAAACAGCAGCTTTCATTGCCAATGAGGTTGTTGAAAAACTGCAAATTGTTGATTTTTAATGCCCTTTTCTCTCTAAAATGATGTTGTGTTTTGTAGATGTTCTGCTGCAAGTACAAACACTTCACACTTGAGTCATTGTTACAAGAACCAAACATGTACTTCAAAATCAAATCCAGTGAAAATGAACCGTTTTCTTTGCATTCACATTGAAGCCAAAACTTGAAAGTGAATTTCTATCTGGTCCACTTTAGTTTGACCATTTTATTTTATTTTTCCCCCTAGTCAAGTAGAATATTATTTTTGTTGTAATGTTATATAATACTGAATTTTATCGTTACTACATTTAGTATTTCAATTCTATTTTGCATTGGAAAAATTATATACTTGACAGTTTTTAATGTGCCATTTTTCCAAATCAGATTAAATGCTTTTCTGCAACCCATTGCTTTACATTAGATTTGTGGAGGCCAAAAAGACTCTGAATTCAAAATAAACACTGAAATGCTTTTGTGTTCATAATGCTTGTTAAAAGTTTACCCCAGATTTAAAGGGAACCAGAACTTTGATTAATTGTGCAGCCCTAATTGCTGCCACATTGCTTTTGCTGATGTTTTGGTTGGTAGCCATATGTGTGATTTGTTTTTGACATTTGCAGCAACTTGTCAAAAGTCTTTATTTATGTGTTTTTGTTTGCAGATGGTAAAGAGGGAAAGAATAAGGAAATGACTGTAGTAAGCTCATCTTCATCCTCTAGCAAACCGAAAGTGAAGAATACTAGCAGCATTGCAGGCATCGCTTTGTGCTGGCAAGGTGTCATTCAGCGACAGGTTAGACATTTATTTTAAGTTTGGTGAAATGTAGGATTTAAATGGGGAGAAATGTGTTAAAAGGAGCTACTACAGTTTTATTTAGTAGATGAAAGGATTATCAAATGAGTCAAAATACCTGAGCAAAGTGTCCATGTGTCCATGTTTCAGTTCATTTAATGAAAAATATGTTGATTGACCATCAGTGTATCTCAGCCTAAAATGAACTGTACTGGTGCAAAATTACATTTATCAATTCCTGTAACTCTGGAGTAATTTTTGTTTGGCTCTTTCCAGGTAAAGAGTTTCCTAGATTCGACATGCAGCCTCCCTGACTTCGTAGAGCGTTACAGAGGTCTGTTCCTCCAGCTAAAGAATGCCATGGAGGAGCTTTTTGGCCAGCACACTGCCTTTGTGCTTGCGCTCCGTCAGGGCTTTTCTGCCGCCTTGCTCCAGCTCTCCATCCTGACCGCTATGCATGTGAGTCAACGGGGAATTCTTCATTATCATTAGAATTCGTTTTTTGGACCAGCAAGTTATTTTGAATTGAAATGAGAATTTGAAAGTAATTCTATTCATTTTTTTTTTTTTCTCATTTGAAGGTGAGTGAACGTTTTGCACAGTACATAGACAAGATGATCCAGGAAAGTGGAGTGGACTCTGGGAATGTGGACACCTTGAACCAGCTCCAGCAGTTCCTGGAGCCCATGCTGTTCCTCTCCGGACTGGAGCTGGCTAACACCTTTGAGCACTTTTACAGGTGTGAAAACAGCTGCTGCTAAATTGTGATATTTCAGAAACCATTATCTAAATCTTTTTCTTTTCTATAATATTTGATTTTTGATCTCTGTGTGTGTATTTGTTCGATTATCAACTTAACTCTTTTATCGTTGAAAGAGCCATTATTGCTGTTAGATTAAAAAGCACGGCACATGAAACTTGTCCTGGGAAGACACTAGCTATTAATACAGTCCTGTTCACCCTGTTGTTCAACTCTGTGTTCAGGTACTATATGGGTGATCGGCTGTTGGGTCAGGGGAAGATGTGGTTAGAGAGCGCTGTGGTTGAGCAGATCGGTACCTGCTTCCCAAACCGGTTTCCCCAGCAGATGCTGACCAACCTCAGTGAATCTGAGGAGCTTCAACAGGAGTTTCATCTTTACCGTCTACAGCAGCTGGACACGAATCTGGAAAACTTTGAGGAGGTGAGAATGATTGACATTTAAGTAAGGCCCTGTTTACAGTTGCTATTATTAAGATGCGTTTTGGTCAATCGGATCGCATGTAGGTTAGGGAGGACACATTACCGTTTGCACCCGCTGTTTTCATCTGTCTCTTTTGACCACTTTCCTGATTTCTTTGAGGGGAGGGTCTATGTAAGGGCTTTTTCTGATCTTTTGATCTAATATTGTGAAACAAGTTTACGCTGTTTACATAGGAATGCAAAAGGAGACGACAGAAAATTATATGGAGAGCAACTTTTGTTTCTGTTCTGATTGTTTCCACCTGTGTTACGTTTGTGTTAGAACAAAAAATGGCAAGCGAACATTGTGCTTTTGACATTTAATCGCCTTCAAACCAAACTTACAATTTCAGCCAGCAAAGTTTAAATCCCATCTGGCTAGTGCATTTCAACAGCACGTCCCATAATGTTTTAGAGTTAGGTTAGTAGAGAGGAAGCGGTCTTTAGTGGCTGTTTGACCACATGAGCGTTTACTCTGCGAAAGCAATCCGGTCGAATGCGACCGGAAGAGGTCGAAAGTGGACAAGCTCAAAAAGTTTTAGACCTCTTTTACACCTGTATTTAGCGATATGCACTCATGTTAGCTATAAATGTATTTCTGTATCGCCTGAATGAATGTTTTTTTTTTTGTAATTGGAGTACCTCGTTTTACATTTTTGAGTTGATGAAAATGTAACTGGTTGTGTAAACTAATATAATAATATCGATATATACAGTGTCGATATATTTTGATCACAGGCCCCTGAATGTAATCATATCATAATCACATCAAGGCACGTTTTGACGTATCTGCAAATAGTGTATTGCTGAGAATCAATGTCAGATAATATAGTGATGAAACATCTGATGTACATCCCCGTGTATCTTTTCTATACAGGATTTGCGATGATCTAAATGTTAGTGATTTTGCTGTTCATCGTGTGTTTTTGATCAGATGATGGATGAGGATGTGTCTGAACCCGAGGAAGAGAGTGACGTGAAAGTGTTGGTGTTGTCCCCACGCTGTTGGGTTGTGTCAGCTCCCTGCTACCTCGAGGATCCCAGCAAACACTTCACCGCTCAACTCTGCAATTACCTGGCCGAATTCACAGAGTTTTACGCCAACAGTTAGTTGAAAAATCCATCATCTCTGGCAGTGCGAATGACACAGTCTAGTAAGACCTATTCTCTCTGGCTGTTCTGTTGTAGTTTGAAGTTAATCCGCACCTGTGTATCTGTCCTGTAGGTCAGCGCATGTATGGTTTGACCCACAGTAAGCCTCGGCGCCTGCAGTGGACATGGCTCGGCCACGCTGAGCTTCAGTATGGCTCCTGTACTCTCTACGTCTCCACACTGCAGATGTACATCCTGCTACAGTTCAACAAACATGAGGTACTGTCTGAAGACTAGTACAAACCTGGGCATGATAGGAAGATTTGATGTGTCAGAATTGTTCACTTTCTTCCTGTTCTACAGGATGTGAGTGTGGAGATGCTGCAGCAGGCCACAGGTCTCTCTCCAGCCATGCTGAGCCATGCCCTCAAGCCTCTCACTGCAGAGAAGGGGATTCTCACTCACACCGACTCCAGCCAAGACCCCATGAAAGGTGAGAACTCCACCTCATTACAACAGAACGAGATGACATCTGTTTTCTTGATGCATCGATTAAAAAATAATAATAATCAGTGCGTCAAGGAATAAAATAGAGGAAGTATTTTAAGAATCATATACACTTGTGGTCAAAAGTTTGGAATAAGATTTTGTTTGTTTTTTTAGATGTTTGTATGTTTTTGTAAGTCTTATGCTCACCAAGGCTGCATTTATTTGATCAAAATACAGTAAAAAAAAAAAAAAAAGTTGTTAAATATCATAATTTAAAAAAAAAAAAAAAATATAAATTAAAAAAAAAAAAAAGAAATTGAAATTTTGTGATTCTGTGATGGCAAAGCTGAATTTTCAGAAGCTGATTTGAAGCTCAATAAGAAGTAATCAATAATAATTGTGCTTGAGAACAGCAATTTAGAATGATTTCTGAAGGATCATGTGACACTGAAGACTGGAGTAATGATGCTGAATTTGCAGCATTTAACACAGGAATAAATTAAATTTTGAATTATATTAAAATAGAAAAGTCTTATTTTAAATTCGAATAATATTTCACAATACCTTTTTACTGTATTTTTAATCATGCAGTCTTGGTGACTTTCAAAAAATCCTTCAAATTGTTCCAAACTTTTGACCTGTAGTGTAAATACATTTAAAAAGTTTAATGTCTGAATCACTTTAAATGAATCGCTCAGTTCAGTGTTTAAAACATTTTTAATTGAAAACCATTTAACTCTGTTGAATTTTTCAGGGTTCCTGGGACTGAACAACAAGAGCCTCTCGCAGAGCTCAGACAGACACGGCTACCATTTCCTGCTTCCCACGCAGACCTACCTGAATGTGGATGAAGATGCTGCGCTCACACTGGAGAGGAAGAGGAACTACATCTACTGTCTCATTGTGCAGATCATGAAGAATGAGAAGGAGATGCATATTGACAATTTAGTGTTCAAGGTAAAATATGGATCAGCAAAGGAGTGCCTGACTCCTGTAGGCAGCCCTTTGTTTGGTTGTTAAAATAATCATGAATGTCATAGAACCTATTAAAGGAGTAGTTCACTTCCAGGATGAAAATTGTCAGTTTACTCTCCCTCCACTTGTTCCAAATCTGTATGAGTTTCTTTCAGCTGTTGAACACAATAGAAGGTATTTTAAAACATGTTAGTATCCAAACTAGTATCCATTTTTTTCCCTACCGTGGAAGTCAATGGTTACCATCAACTGTTTGGATACTAACATTTTTCAAAATACCTTCTTTCTTTAAGATCATACCCAGCTCATAATTCATTACACAGTCATTATGGCAATTAAGCACATGTCCCCCAAATCCCATTATTGTTATATATATATATATATATAAGAAAACATTTAAATTGTGATGTGTTTATATAATGATATTATTGGTTGTACTGCTTTTGATGCTGATTTCTACACTGTAAACAAAAAGTCATAGTTTCATAGTAATTTCCATGAAAATTGTCATAATTTAAATCTAACAGTCCTGAAAGTAGACTTTATTGTCTTAATGGAAAATATTATTTTTTTATGTATCTTTCTTATTTTGTTTTGGGTTTTTTTTTGTGTGTGTTATAAACTAAATTGATAGAAAAACCATGTTACAGAAGATGAGTTTTTGCGTGTCTCCTGTGCTGTTGCAGGTATTGGACAGGTGTCAGAAGCAGGAGGCGAGTCGGACTCGCGGCTCGGTTCGCTTCAGCTGCAGCACTACAGACGTGCTGTCCTGCATCATGCATGTCATCAACAAAGGCTACATCTGCCGCAACGAGGAAAGCCCACATATCGTGGAGTTCTTGATGGAGGACCCGTCCACACCCCGAAAGGGCCAGGCGCAGTTCTCCTTTAAGATGGATGTGAAAAAAAGCTCCGCAAGCGGCAGCAAAGCCGACACCAGGTGTGCTGATGACCCTTAACCCTTGATCCCTAGACCCCCCTTCTTGCACGAAAGGAGGCAGAGAACTTGGCTTTCATTGACGTTTTTTCTCCCCTCTCAGGGCTGGTCTTTTTTCTGAAATGAGAGATGCACTGATGCCAAACAGGTGCACTCGTTGGGGCGAGTAGCTTGTCTGCCCTGTTGCTTTTTTGTTGTAAGCTCTTTATATTTCCTGTGTGTGCTGATCTGTTCCAAAAGCTAGTGAGTTGCCTATTTAGATGGGCTCCTGATGATATTATGAAACGTATGCAGCATCATCAATATAATGTGTGTGACAGTTTGTCGTTAGCTAACATCGAACTCTCTAGGAATCAGTTTTGAGTTGAGTGTCCCATGCGGAGAGGTGTTTGTGGGACATGTGGAGTTGCTGCTCATGTAGAGTGTTCCAGATCATTCACTTTAGAAGACCGTAGACAGGGAAGCAGCTCACTAGGTTTCGGAGCAGAGTCCGTATTTGAGGCAAATGCATTTTCACTTGCACAGGAAGTTTTTTTTTTGCTGCTTCTTTTAAAATCTGTTTTGATCTGATTTAACATCTGCAGTTGCAGTAACTATGACCTACGCAAGGGCAGAGCTAGTCCATTCCTCATTGGTCAGGATGAATATTAGCGTCAACCAATGAAATGCTTTGAGATGCTCTTTTTCTTATATTGCAAGACTTGTATATAGCGCTTAAGTTTGTGATCATCAGTGGACTGAAATTCAGTCTGTTATTAATTGAAGGCTGCTCACTTCCTGTCTGTGCCGTAATGAAAGGGTTAGTTCACGCGTAAATGAAAAGTGTCATCATCTGATCACCCTCATGTTGTTCAAAACCCATAAGACTGTTGTTTATCTTCAGAACGCAAATAAAGTTGTTTTTAATATCCTTTTTGTCTATCCATTGAAAGTCTACGCATCCAAAACTTTAATACTTTTTTTTTTTTCTCGTACAAAAAGTAATTTATATGAATCGGGTGGTTTAGTGGGCGACCGATATATCGCCAAGGCCGATATATCGGCCGATATTTGGCATTTTTCAAATATCGGCATCGGCCGATAAGTTTTTCTGTTTGGCCGATGAGTTCGAGGCGGGACTTTTATTTTGACGGCGCTGAGAACAGCAGCGCCTGAGCACACCGCTCGCATTCTCCCTCTTGTTCGCTGTCGTCGTTCAGTTCTGTCTAATATAGATAGAAGTCTATCTAATAATCAGATAGACCTGTTAAACAAAGGAATTAAAATGTAGGCTATACAAAAAAGTATTATTCCGATTGCTTTAATATTATTAGTAATAGAAAAGCAAACATTGTAATACTTTCTCATTTGGCGTCAGCATTCAGCAAATACGCATTTATATCATTTAAACAAATCTTTGAATGACTAATGAACATTTAATTTCACAAACCTTGCAAACTTAGTCGGATCCGGTTGTGAGATCTTGTGAAGTGTGCATGTGTATCCTGCATGATCACATGTCCTCTGTGTGACGGTCGGTCCGTGTGAATTGAATGCTGACAGGAGGAGAGGTCAGCTTCACTGGAGATGCGCGATCGACAAACTTTAAGCTAAGTTAGTGATTTCAAATTATGCTGCGCTTTATGCATTTGTCCACTGCCATATTCATGTCATTTTCATTGCGTGCTGTATGTAAAATGAGTGTTACCTTGGATTTATTTGAAATAATTTTTTAATAAAATGATTCCCAATGCACACAAACTTCCCAGAATACTGAGTGCCCTGTTGGTTACAGTGTTTACTTCCTTTTTAATTAGATTTTTATTAAATATTTATTTATTTGTGGAAAATGCTTTGTCTTCTAAAGTATAAGTATGTTTATTATTTTTAATCCATTTTCAAATTTCTTAAATATGAATTAAAATAAATAAAATGATATCGGCCATCGGCCACTCTGCTTTCCAAGATATCGGCATCGGCTGTCAAAAAACCAATATCGGTCGACCACTAGTTTAATCCAAGTCTTCTGAAGAGTCACAAACAGATTTAATTTAGTCTTTTATTCACATACATAGAGCACGTCAAATATGGTCAATTGCTGTTCAAACGTACTTGCTCGACACGCAAAAACAATCCTCATTGGTTGTTGGCACGCTTAAGCTTCCATTTATCATATTCAATGTGCATTAATCAATGTTCATATATGAATAAAAGGCTAAATTAAGTCTTTTCAGATATCTTCATTTGTGTTTTGAAGATGAACGAAAGTCTTAATGGTTTGGAATGACGTTAGAGTGAGTAGATGACAGACTGTTTGTTTTCGGGTGAACTACTGCTTAAAGAACTCAGTCTACTGGGAATTTGTTCTTTGCTTTTGTCCACTTTTTAAAAATCTAATACTTATGTTTCTTCAGCACAGAATTTTTGCATAAATATGCTAGATATTTTGAAACAAGGCAACTTATGTTTACCACTTAAAGAAAATAAAGACATTTTTAAATTTTGAATCATGTTTGTTGCTCATTTATTCTATGTAAATAGAAGTCATTTTATTTATTTTTTATAATTTTTAGCTCTATGATTCCGTATCTTGTCAAACACTCATACTTCTCTAAAAGAGGTTTTCATCCCTAAATGTATTCAGGATGTGCTGATACCTGATTCAAAGGTGATGATACATTTTTCTAAATGAACAACTTGTATTTTAATCAGTGCAGAGAGATACTTATATTATTGCCTTATTTAAAATGGTGCACATCAGAAAGTTCAAATCTATATTTGACCAGAATAAAATCAATAAATGTTGTGGCTTTTATATGATGATAAATGTTGATGAGCAAGTCCACAGAATTAGAAAACCATTAGAAGATTTTTTTTGTTTATTAAATATTATTTCTTTCTGCTACCAGTGAAGGTGTAGTATTTAATTTTACTGGCATCATTTGGAAAAGTCTGCAGATTCTGTCTGATCCTGCTGTTAAGAATCAAAATGCCCTTCCCTGAAAGTCAGCGATTTCACAATCTACATCCACATAATGACGTTTTGTGTGTATATCTCCCTCTGCAGCCTGGGAGGCCTTATAGTTCCCCCTCAGCATCCGGAGGACGGCGTGCTGGAGGCCGTGCTGTTCTCCATGGGTCGCACAATGACTCAAGAGGAGGTCAGGCAGCTGATGCAGCGCACCGTCCAGCAGGTGGCGGGGACCCTGAGCCTGGATCTGGACCGGGCCGAGCACCTGCTCATGCACTGCAAATGGAACGTGGACTTGTTGATCCAGCGGTACACAGACGACCCAGACGCCCTGGTCCTGGCTGCCGGCCTCAAGATCCGCAACCCCCAGCCGGCCCCGGGCGCCTTGGCCCAGTGTCCCGTGTGCCTTTCCCAGTCCAAAGAGAGTGACCCCCCTCCCATGCTCTGCTGCATGCATTACTGCTGCAGGGTGAGTGTAGGGCTAAAACCTTTCAGAGTTCAACACTGTACTGCAAAACTGCACATTTAGGTGGGACTTATCATAGGGCTTGTCTCTTTAAAAAATAAATTGTCTCTTTAAGAAAAAGACTAAAAGGGTCTTTTTTAAGAAGTAAATGCTTTTATTCAGCAAGGATGCGTTAAACTGATCAAATGTGACAGTAAAGACATTTACATTATTCAGATATTTCTGTTTCCAATAAATGCTGTTCTTTTGAACTTTCTATTCATCAAAGAATCATGAATCTTAAGCTGCACAGCTGCTTTCAACATTGATAATAAGAAGAAGAAATGTTTATTGTGACCCTGAAGATGCTGAAAATGTAGCTTTGGCATCACAGGAATACATTTCATTTAAAAATGTTAAAATAGAAAAGAGTTATTTTAAATTGTAATAATAATAGTTAACAATATTACAGTTTTTAATTTATTTTTGACCAAATAAATGCAGCTTTGGTGAGCATTAGAGACTCAAAAAGCATAATTTTACAAACCCCGAACTTTTTACAAAAAGCCAGTGCCTGTAGTTTATGAAAAAGTGATGAAGTATGATTTTCTAGATTTAATTCTGTTTAGTGCAAGTATTTTTAGTGGAAGATTTCATGGAAGGGATAGAATATTTCAAATGTGCTCAAACTTAATTTTGTCAGTTTTTATTATTATTTGTCATTTTATTATATTGATGACCCACAGCTAACAGACTAAAACCCTGATTTTTTTTATAGACTCATACAGTTACACATGTAATATGTCTGTGTATTCATGGGCCAGATTTACTAAACGGGGCATATTAGCATGAGACCACGATCTCATAAATGCTCAGATGGAAGTGGAAAGTTTTGTGCAGGGGATCTACTGACAATGTGCAAATTAAAGAACACAGACACATCCGGATCATTTCCATAATTAGCGTAGGGTCGCAAACAAGCAGATAATCATCGTGATAATCATAATAATCATCAGCAATCAAAATATTAACACAAGCATGAAATGGGTTAAGACATCCTTTTTTGTGGAGTGTTAAATAATGGCCTTAGTAAATCACTTTGAATGATTCATTTCAATACTCTCCTCCCATAAATGTGGTGTCTGAAAGAGAAACTCCTACAATGCATATGCAGTAAGGTCAGCCTCAGAAATGCCTTTTCATCGCTAATTTTCCACTGCATGTTTTTAGTAAATCCTGACAGTAGTTTTATAACTCAAAAAGAGGGTTTATGCTGTCACAAACTATTAGTAAACTGTGTGCTTGTGTTGACATGCCATTTCTGTTTCCCGTTAGTCCTGCTGGCAGGAGTACCTCACTGCTCGTATCGAACAGAATCTGGTGATGAACTGCGACTGTCCGATCACAGACTGTCGGGCTCAGCCCACCTCCAAGTTCTTTCACAACATCCTCACCGATAAGGACACCATTGCCAAAGTATGAGCAGGCCAACACACATACTCAGTGGGTTGAGGGACCAGAGAATGAGTTTGTATCCTGTGCTTTCTCCTGCAGTATGACAGTGCCCTTCTGCGAGGCTTCGTGGAGTGCTGCTCCAACCTGACCTGGTGTACCAACCCTCAGGGCTGCGACCAGGTCCTGTGCAAGGAGAACATCGGTAGCATGGGCACCTGCTCCAAGTGCTGCTGGTCTTCCTGTTTCAGCTGCAACTTCCCAGAGGTAATCTGCCTAATGTGTCATCTTAATACTAAAATCATGATCTGATCTCTAATTATAGCTGATATAGAGAAACCTGTTGAGAATATGTGCGGGTCATATTTCAACTCAAATAAAAACGTTTTGTGTAAAGAAAGTAAAAAAAAAAGAAGCCTATCAAGCCTCTACAATGCGAGTAAATCACTCACATATGCGACTAAATCTTCACTCTGGGCGACTAAATAACGTCAATCGTTAGCCATTGGCTCCTGTCAAAAAACGGAGTTCATTTATTATTCATTATTTAGCTTTTAAGAACAAGATATGCCGGTTTCTCCGGTAGTGGGCGGAGCTAATGCGCAAATGGCAATCTCATTGGCTGGCACTCATCTTATACCGTCCTTGTTTTGATTTCAGCAAATCAGTTCGAGCAAACACTGACAACGTGATTAATATTCATGAACCCAGCAGCTCATCAATCCTTAGTGTGCTGTATATTGTTATTAGTAGTAGAATTCGTAGTATTATTATCTTATCAGTATTATTGTTAGTTTTTTTCTCCCTTGTTTTTCTACAGAAACACTGAATGACCAACCATATCTTAAGCACCACCACCAGTCCTAAGTTCAGTTAAAATGACAAATATGCATTCATACACGGTTACCAAGTTTTAATTCCAATTACTGAGGTTCTAACATTACATAATGCTTGATTATCATAATATCATATTATAATGCTTGACTGACTGATGTTAAGAGTGTAGTCAAGTCAAGTCACCTTTATTTATATAGCGCTTTATACAATACAGATTGTGTCAAAGCAGCTTTTCAGTGTTAAACAGGAAAAACGTGTGCTGATAATGCAAGAGGACAATAAAAAACAGTTTCAGTTCAAATCAGTTCATTGTTGATTCAGTGATGATACCGTCCAGCTCAGTTCAGTTCTGTTCCAATAGTTTCTGTTCAGTCAAGTCAACAATGTTGCCAGAAATTGTGTCCCCATCTAAGCAAGCCAATGGCGACAGTGGCAAGGAACCAACACTCCATCGGTGACAGAAATGGAGAGAAAAAACCTTGGGAGAAACCAGGCTCTGTTTGGGGGGCCAGTTCTCCTCTGGCCAGACAAACCAGCATGGTGTGGTTTAATTCCAGGCTGCAGCAAAGGTCAGATTGTGCAGAGGACTCGTCTGGTTCTCGTGGTCTTGTGAGGTCATCTAGAGGTCGTCTCTAGGTGCTGATCCACCGTCTGGACGAAACTGACTGGATCCGGGTGACTGCAGTGACCATCTGATCTGGATACAGACTGGATCTGGTGACCTGGGAACAAGAATAAAACCGACTAATATTAGCGTAGATGCCATTCCTCTTATGATGTAGCGAGTACATCGGGTGTTATGGGAAGTGTTCCCGGTTCCGGTTGACCTAATTAATGCAGTCTAAAAATCCTTTAACAGATCTGAATTATAGAAATGTGATAAGTGTGTTATGTGAATGCCTGGTTAAAGAGATCTTTAATCTAGATTTAAACTGACAGAGTGTGTCTGCCTCCCGAACAATGCTAGGTAGTTTGTTCCAGAGTTTGGGGGCTAAATAGGAACATAAAATGCCGCCTGCAGTTGATTTTGATATTCTAGGTATTATCAAATGGCCAGAGTTTTGAGATCACAGCGGACATGTAGGACTATAATATGATAAGAGTTCGCTCAAGTACTGAGGTGCTAAACCATTCAGAGATTTATAATTAGCAAGATTTTAAAATGTATATGATGTTTAATAGGGAGCCAATACAGAGTTGACAGAACCGGGCTAATATGGTCATACTTCCTGGTTCTAGTAAGAACTCTAGCTGCTCCATTTTGAACCAGCTGGAGTTTGTTTATTAAGTGTGCAGAACAACCACCCAATAAAGCATTACAATAATCTAACTTTGAGGTCATGAATGCATGAGGGCACTGTAAATATATATGCGTGTTTGTGTGTGTGTGTGACCCTGGATAACAACTACCCTGGATAGTTGCTGGGGTATATTTGTAACAATAGCCAAAAAAACATTGTATTGGTCAAAATTATCGATTTTTCTTTTATGCCAAAAATCATTAGGATTGTAAGTAAAGATCATGTTCCTTGAAGATATTTTGTAAATTTCCTACCGTGAATATATCAAACCTTAATTTTTGATTAGTAATATGCATTGCTAAGAACTTCATTTGGACAATTTTAAAGGAGATTTTCTCAATATTCAGATTCCAGATTTTCAAATAGTTGTATCTCAGCCAAATATTGTCCTATCCTTCTTTTTCCGATTTGCTGCTCAGTTTTTACCAATACAGTTTCTTATTGGTGCTCAATTATTAATAATGATTCTTATTAATGTTGAAAAGATATTTATTTTATAAATACGTTTATTTCTTTATTTTAGTTTAACTTTTGAATGGTAGTGTATCATGGACAGAAATATTAAGCAGCTCAACTGTTTTTAACACTGATAATAATAATAAATGTTTCTTGAGAAGCAAATCAGTATATTAGAATGATTTCTGAAGGATCATTTGACACTGAAGACTGGAGTAATGATGCTGAAAATTCAGCTTTACCATCACAGGAATAAATTAACAAATTAATAATAATTAAAATAAAAAACAATTTTATTTTATATATATATATATATATATATATATATATATATATATATATATACTGTTATTTTAAATTGTAATACAATTTTACAATATTACTGATTTTACTGTTGTTTTGTTTTTTATCAAGTAAATGCACCCATGATAATCATATGGGACTTCTTTCAAAAATATTAGAAAATCATAATTGTTTCCTACTTTGGGCAGAGGTGCCCCCCAAGCGACTGAAAGATTTTCCAATAAAAAAAAAAAAAAGTAAATATGCATACATTTTAAATTGTTATTTTTAAAATAAATTGGCAAATCTGCATTTTGGCTGATAATAGCCTATAGTATATACTGCTTGCCAGTTGCATGGCGTGAATGGATATTCAGTGTTTTTTACAACGTACAACAGCTGCAGAGAAATCTGGACTTAACCAAAATAATGTCAGATGCTGACGCCACGCTTGATGCTTGCGGGACGCTCCATTGTAGCAGCTGGGTGTTCCGCCTTTCAGAAGGAGGACTATTTACACCAGATGTTATTCGGTTTACACAAAACAAAACCTAGACATAGATTTTACATTATAAACAATCAGCCATTTTCAGTACAATTTACTAAATACAGTGACGTGTTTGTGTGTCTGCTGTTGTGTGTTTAACTTGAATCGTGTCCAACTGATATCTGTTTTAAAGCAGTGGGTGAGAAATTCACTCCTTGATTTGTTTAATAAAAGCCTACTTTGACATTCTGTTGACACGCATGTCTATAGTGCATTATTTTCAGCGTGTTTATTATAGCGCAGCATAAATAGATATAGTGCAAGTAATTCGCAGGCAATGTATCTGGATGCCACGACATCCTTACACGCTTGCTGCTGCTCTGTGTTATCAGTGTTGGGGAACGTTACTTTTAAAAGTAATGCATTACAATATTGTGTTACTCCATAAAAAAGTAACGTTACGTTACTTTTTATGGAAAGTAATGCGTTACGTTACTTTTGCATTACTTTTTAAATCTGGGCAGGGCTTGCTTGTTTGTTTTTTAAAATAAAAAAGTTCTATTTTTGGCAAATATAAAAGCCTGCTCACACCAAAAGTGAAATGAATAAGCCTCAGGCTGAAGGGAAAGTACATTTACGTCCGTACAGTAGAATGCAGAAGAAGACATTTCAACACACTTCAGCAATAAACAAAACACACAAATAATTGTCTAGAGTAATTTGTGCTTATTAGTACGGTTGAACTGGATCATCGAAGACATTGGTTAATAGAATGGGATTAAATACATAAAGGATATTTGTGTTTAACATTTTAGCAGGTTTGCGTCATATTCTGAGTTGTATAATTTTTATTCATTTTGAGGAACACTTTTTTTTTTTTGTGAGTGAGATTAATTAATTCATATTTATTGTAGAACTACAGTAACATCTTCTGATTTCTCTCAACATGGGGACAGGAGAGCTGTCAGTCAATACATTGGAGAAAAAAAAGTAACTTGTGTTACTTATTTGAAAAGATATTCTCTTGTAACTTAAAAAGTAATGCGTTACTTTACTAGTTACTTGGGAAAAAAGTAATCTGATTACGTAACTCGCGTTACTTGTAATGCGCTACCCCCAACACTGTGTAATCATAGTAAAATCTAAAAAAAATAATAATAATTTTTACTATAGAAAAGCTCAAATGTATTTAAAAGTGTGACTGGCCAAGTTGACTGGCTTGGTAATATGTGATCATGTAATCAACAAACAAGTAACTGTAGTCTGATTCTGAGTATTTTAAAATGTAATTGAATCTAATTACAAGTACTTAATTTTTGGAATCTGATTACGTAATCCATATTACATGTAATCAGTTATTACCCAGCTCTGTTTACACCTGTGCTGTGCTGCGTAATCTATAGTCATGCCTCCGTAAACTCTCTTGTCCAATCATCAGGCGCACTACCCAGCCAGCTGCAGTCACATGTCTCAGTGGATGGATGATGGAGGCTTTTACGAGGGAATGAGTATGGAAGCACAGAGTAAACATCTGGCCAAACTTATATCCAAACGATGTCCCAGCTGCCAGGCCCAGATTGAGAAAAACGAGGGTTGCTTGCAGTGAGTGTACATGCACAAATGCCTCACATTTATTATTAAATTGAAGAACTATGTAACAGTTAACTTTAATACTAAATGCATGCCTTATGTCTTTTTCTCTGTGTAGTATGACGTGTGCCAAATGTAATCATGGATTTTGCTGGAGATGCCTGAAGCCGTGGAAGCCAACACATAAAGATTATTACAACTGCTCAGCCATGGTAAGTGTCTTAAGAAGATGCGGTGGCTTCTGTGAGAAATCACCCTCGGAGTCTTGAGGTTTTGATGCCAGAAGATAGACTTTTATTATCAGAGATAATGAAGCCGAGAGAATCTATAGAGTCTGTGTCTCTTTCATACAGCTTTCCATATGCTCTACTCCAGTGCATGTTCAATACACGTGGTTATTGTTTATCAGCTTTTTCCCCTTTTTTGGCTGTGACTCCAGTCTGTTTTCAGGAAGTAGACAGGAGGCCTAAATTTATATTAAGTGGAAAAGGGGGTCTCATATATTTTGTCTAATGTCAAAATACGCTATACCATATACTTTTATAATGGCAGCACATTTCGTTCTCTATACACACAAGCAAATACATGGTTATAATAGTAGAATAACATGATAAATGAATGGCTACATTCACATTGATAAAACTTGATTAATTCATATTTTGATAAATAAAAATCTTCCACGAAGACCGTTTGCAATATGATCCTATTTCCAACACTTTCGTGCACTGAACACAAGGATGAATGATTTTCATTTTATATGCACTAACACAAATGCAATAAATGGCAATATTTGCCTGCCTGTTTTAATTGAAATGTAATCCACAAAAAGGGACACACAAGACTTTCATAAACATGCAGATTTCCAAAAGACCATTTTACGCCAATTTTACACTGATTTTAAATAATTGAGTATTGGGATTTGTAAATATTCAAACTTTTTTTTTTTGCCCAGCGCTAAAAGTCCTGTAAATTAATATGCAATCGCAGGTCAGCAAAGCTGCAAGGCAAGAGAAGAAGTTCCAAGACTACAATGAGAGATGCACATTTCATAACCAAGCCAAGGTTTGTTGGAGCCATTAATCACATCCATTTCAAACCTTTTAGTGTGTTTTTTTTAAGTGTCTGACTATTGCTTTCCATAGGACTTTGCAATCAATCTGGAGAACAAGGTGTTTTCTATAAACGAAGCTTTACAGATGAAGTCTTTGACGTTTGTGATCGACGCCTGCAAGATTCTTGCCCAAGCTCGAAAGGTGGGAATCTTAAATGGCTTTAATATATATATATTTTTTTCAATGTTTCCAGTCGTTTTCTTTATTCTTATCGCTGTATTTGTGTCATCTGTCATGTAGGTGCTGGCGTACTCGTGTGTTTACAGCTATTACAACCAGGACACTGAGAAGATGGATGTGATGGAGCAACAGACCGAAGCTCTGGACCTTCATACTAACGCTCTGCAGATCCTGCTTGGTTGGTGATAGGGAAAACTCACTCTGCCAATAAGACAATCTGCATTGCTTACATTTGCCAATAGACTCCAACAGTAGCCACAAACCTTTTGGAACTATTTTTCCCATTCACATTCTCCATAGGGATTTCTAAACATTTCGGAGTGAATAGTTGTAGACTTTAAGCCAAGCCAAACCAAAAAGCTCTGATAAGAAACTATTAACAAATGATCCATGTATGTATGTTTTTGTTTTCTTTCCCTGCACAAGCACATATCGTCTGAGCTCATGGTCTTAAAAGGTTTATATATCGAATAGGATTTTTACTTCCAAAACCCGTTGTGACTGTTGTGCTCTAATTCAGTCATGTTTAGTTCTGATGCATTGGTTACATGATGATAAAATTAGTTGGGATTTTGGTTTCAGAGGAGACGCTGCTGCAATGCACTGATCTTGCATCCTGTATCCGACTCCTAAAACCCGAACACCTAAACACTGGCCTGGAGCTCATTCGCCGAATTCAGGAGCGTCTTGTGGCCATCCTCCAGCACTCCACTCAGGTAAACCTACTCCTGTATTATCACTCATGGACTTTCTGAGGTTGTTCATTAAAAGCCTTCAAAGCACACATTTGACCATCGGGGACAAATGGTCTTTTTTGGCAGGACTTCCGTGTTGGATATCAGTCCAAGACTGGGCCAGACCAGGAGACAGCACAGGCTTCTAATCTGGCTAACCACGCAGACGCCAACAAAGGGTGAGCCGCCACACGTTTACAAGAGAAGCATGACTGACTTCTGACGATTCTTGAAATGTACAAGTTTTCCTTTTTTTATTTCAGGTCCAAATCTGATGAAGGCTCTGAGTCTGGAGACTCCGACAACAACAACAACTACGCCGGCGAGGACCCTGGCGATGAAGCAGAGGAGGATGACGAGTATGACGATGAATACGTTCCAGAATGGCACGAGGATTACGATGAGGAAGACATAGATGACGATGACTTTTTTTCTGATGATGATGAATCTGAAAACTTGGAGAGGGACTTCAGCCCTTTTGACTAAATGACCCTGAGACTGATGCTTACACAATGCTAACACGATGTCTACCAATGTAAAAGTAGACACTATAAATTCCACACCCATACAAGAAAGAAAAAAAGTGACACAAATTTCTTGTGGGAATCCAGAGTTTGGAGTAAGTTTCTCTGTAACGTGGTCTTTTTGCTTCGCACTTAGCACCTACTTTGAGTTGTAAATTAGTTGTTACACCAGAAGTGGAATTTCACGTTTATTTAGGTTTATGCTACAGTTTCTTTAACTTACGAAATTGTAACTTCGTCCTTGGCTGATGAGGGTACTTTAAGTTCAGTGAAGGATCTTAATTGTAGAGGTATTATCTTTTTGAAACTGTTCATAGTTTTGTTATTAACAACTTACATTTTTGGTCAAAAATTGAAGGAGGGATGTGTAAACATTAAGAAAGCTGATTTTTTTTTATCTGGTCGTAGGTGTCGGCATTGTGTATTTAGTTTGAATACCAAAAGTACTTGCCTTTATTCCATTTTAAATTCCTTTAAATGCCTTCATATATGATGTTAAGTTGGTTGATCGCCATTTGAATGATTGTAAGCATTTGGAAATATTTGCAAAGATTTTGAAAAGAAAAAACATTGAAACATTTGCATCCGTGTTTAAGGGCTGCATGAAAAATGAGCAGTCTGTCAGACAGCAGTCCATGATGAGGATGGTGCTTCAGTGACCTGCTGGTTGTGTCAGGCACCAGAATCCTACAAACTTAAACCTTTTACTTTGTCCTGTCTCATTAAGATGTAATGGCAATAAATATTTAAACGTTTTGTAGCTCATCGCATTAAGCAAATCATACCTTAATCGCTTAGTTCAGTTTCTTCCTCTAAAACAAAAAAAATTAAAAAATTTTGGACATTTGTTCACTTGTATAGAGATGGGGATATAAAATATCTTCAAAAGTCCAGTTTCGAATTGAGATGCCTATATATTCATATTCTGTCCATCTGAAATGTTTTCAGCTCACAATAAATGCTTTTCTTCCAATTGAGTTTTTTTTTTGTCAGGGTACTTTAAGTTCAGTGAAGGATCTTAATTGTAGAGGTATTATCTTTTTGAAACTGTTCATAGTTTTGTTATTAACAACTTACATTTTTGGTCAAAAATTGAAGGAGGGATGTGTAAACATTAAGAAAGCTGATTTTTTTTTATCTGGTCGTAGGTGTCGGCATTGTGTATTTAGTTTGAATACCAAAAGTACTTGCCTTTATTCCATTTTAAATTCCTTTAAATGCCTTCATATATGATGTTAAGTTGGTTGATCGCCATTTGAATGATTGTAAGCATTTGGAAATATTTGCAAAGATTTTGAAAAGAAAAAACATTGAAACATTTGCATCCGTGTTTAAGGGCTGCATGAAAAATGAGCAGTCTGTCAGACAGCAGTCCATGATGAGGATGGTGCTTCAGTGACCTGCTGGTTGTGTCAGGCACCAGAATCCTACAAACTTAAACCTTTTACTTTGTCCTGTCTCATTAAGATGTAATGGCAATAAATATTTAAACGTTTTGTAGCTCATCGCATTAAGCAAATCATACCTTAATCGCTTAGTTCAGTTTCTTCCTCTAAAACAAAAAAAATTAAAAAATTTTGGACATTTGTTCACTTGTATAGAGATGGGGATATAAAATATCTTCAAAAGTCCAGTTTTGAATTGAGATGCCTATATATTCATATTCTGTCCATCTGAAATGTTTTCAGCTCACAATAAATGCTTTTCTTCCAATTGAGTTTTTTTTTTGTCTTTGTTTGCATCCGTGTGCAAGGGTAGCCAAAGAAAAGCTCCCTAAAGTCGTTTTTTTTGCACTCCATTTATTTGTTTGTGTTAGGAAGCATGCTTTGTGAATGTCCCTTTAGTAGTTCAAAACGTGTTCATTTTTCATTAGCGTTTCCATTCTTCTCAATGCCAGTTGCTCGGTTGCCACAGGACCCCCTGAAGTATGAGATTGAGTCTGCCATCGTTGCCGTAGGCACAAGTTCTGCTACAAAGTTGTTTTTTTGTGCCAATTACCCAAGCTGTAAGTGTCACCAATCACTGTGGAGCTGCAGAAAGTAGGTGCGTCCCAATCCACTTATGCCTTTTGTATAAATTGTAAAAAAAAAAAAAGTGGCTTGGACACTTAATGCACTCAATGGTTGCAGCTTTCCTCATGTACCGGAGAGGGAAGGGCTATAAAAGATGCCCGAAACTGAAAGAAAAAACAAAGTTTACATGCTAGACCGTAGAGTGCATAATTGCTTAGGGTGTCATTTGAGACACTACTCATTTTGCAACTCATGCGAGCAGTCAATTTTTATTTAAATGGACAAATAACATCAAGTAAACATTTAATTTGTGTTTTAAAGTGCTGCAAATAAAGCAGTGCGGTGAAGAGTGAATGGGTATTTCTGGCGATTTTCTCAAGGAAGCCTCTTCGCATCTATATATTAATAGCCGAAATAATATACAGAGACTATATGAGATGAGGATTTTGTAAACCGTGCGTGGTCATGTGAAAGTCTAAGCACTGGTCAGATCCATGAATCAAAAGATAACGTGACAAAACTGAAAAGATGGCTAGATAGTCCTGTATCTTCCATGATCTTAATTAACCTAGATTTTTCTTCACTAATTTCAGGACGAAAAGCTCCCTAAAGTCGTTTTTTTTGCACTCCATTTATTTGTTTGTGTTAGGAAGCATGCTTTGTGAATGTCCCTTTAGTAGTTCAAAACGTGTTCATTTTTCATTAGCGTTTCCATTCTTCTCAATGCCAGTTGCTCGGTTGCCACAGGACCCCCTGAAGTATGAGATTGAGTCTGCCATCGTTGCCGTAGGCACAAGTTCTGCTACAAAGTTGTTTTTTTGTGCCAATTACCCAAGCTGTAAGTGTCACCAATCACTGTGGAGCTGCAGAAAGTAGGTGCGTCCCAATCCACTTATGCCTTTTGTATAAATTGTAAAAAAAAAAAAAGTGGCTTGGACACTTAATGCACTCAATGGTTGCAGCTTTCCTCATGTACCGGAGAGGGAAGGGCTATAAAAGATGCCCGAAACTGAAAGAAAAAACAAAGTTTACATGCTAGACCGTAGAGTGCATAATTGCTTAGGGTGTCATTTGAGACACTACTCATTTTGCAACTCCTGCGAGCAGTCAATTTTTATTTAAATGGACAAATAACATCTAAAGTAAACATTTAATTGGTGTTTTAAAGTGCTGCAAATAAAGCAGTGCGGTGAAGAGTGAATGGGTATTTCTGGCGATTTTCTCAAGGAAGCCTCTTCGCATCTATATATTAATAGCCGAAATAATATACAGAGACTATATGAGATGAGGATTTTGTAAACCGTGCGTGGTCATGTGAAAGTCTAAGCACTGGTCAGATCCATGAATCAAAAGATAACGTGACAAAACTGAAAAGATGGCTAGATAGTCCTGTATCTTCCATGATCTTAATTAACCTAGATTTTTCTTCACTAATTTCAGGACAAGTAAAAATTCTTGCAAGGGATCCACACTATCAGTATTAAGCCAGCATACTACTGTGGTAATGAGAATCTGGAAGAGAGAAATTCTAGCAAAGACCATCCTGCAAGAGCTAAATTCTCATGTAGCATTTACGGTGGCAGATCCACATGCTTAGCATGAGTTGAACCAGAGACTGAAACTTGGTTGCTTTGTTCAGCCGCTTTTGCTCTATGGAATTATGACTGTTTCAGGACACACCCTAAAACTGTAGCGTTACAACAGAACTTAGTTGTGGTTTCTTTATGCAATTTTTTCATGAAAATACCTCACAACCTGTGGCTCAATCAAGCTCCCCAAACACCAAAGGACACAAATGTCACCCAAACTAAACCACATCCGCTCAAGTTAAATGAAGGCCAAACTAGTCAAAGAACCAAACTAAAAGGGTTTAGATGCTTTTAAGTTTATTTACTCAATATAGACAATTGTACATACTTAATACTCCTCTTCATCCTCCCCACAGTCCTCAGTGGAATCAGCACCAACCTCCTCATAGTCCTTCTCCAGGGCAGCCATGTCCTCTCGCGCCTCCGAGAACTCTCCTTCCTCCATCCCTTCACCTACGTACCAGTGCACAAAAGCCCTCTTTGCATACATCAAGTCAAACTTGTGGTCCAGGCGGCCCCACGCCTCTGCAATAGCAGTGGTGTTGCTCAGCATGCAGACGGCCCTCTGCACCTTGGCCAGATCCCCTCCTGGGACAACGGTGGGCGGCTGGTAGTTGATGCCAACCTTAAACCCCGTGGGACACCAGTCTACGAACTGTATGGAGCGGCGCGTCTTGATGTTGGCTATGGCGGCGTTCACGTCTTTCGGAACCACGTCACCACGGTACAGCAAACAGCAGGCCATGTACTTCCCACGGCGAGGGTCGCACTTCACCATCTGGTTTGCTGGCTCAAAACAGGCATTGGTGATTTCTGGTACGGACAGCTGCTCGTGGTAGGCCTTCTCGGCTGAAATGATGGGAGAGTAGGTGACAAGCGGGAAGTGGATACGTGGGTATGGGACCAGGTTGGTCTGGAACTCTGTAAGGTCCACATTTAGGGCTCCATCGAAGCGCAGTGATGCTGTGATGGAGGACACGATCTGGGCGATGAGCCGGTTTAGGTTGGTGTAGGAGGGGCGTTCAATATCGAGGTTTCGCTTACAGATGTCAAAGATGGCTTCGTTATCCACCATGAAGGAGCAGTCGGAGTGCTCCAGAGTAGTGTGGGTTGTAAGGATCGAGTTGTAGGGCTCCACCACAGCTGTGCTGACTTGCGGGGCCGGATATACAGAGAATTCCAACTTTGACTTTTTACCGTAGTCTACGGACAGGCGCTCCATCAGTAGAGATGTGAAACCGGAGCCTGTTCCGCCACCAAAACTGTGAAAGATCAGGAACCCCTGCAGACCAGTGCACTGGTCCGCCTAGATAGAAATCAGAGGGAAAAAAGTAAGAATTCAGATCCAACCAGGAATTCTTCATCTAAAGTCCAGGATGTTAAAGATTCTTCAGTAAGCGCTAGATGTTAATAAAATAACCTTTTTTTGTGCAAGTGTAAACTCACCATTTTGCGCATCCGGTCGAGCACAGAGTCCACTATCTCTTTGCCGATGGTATAGTGACCTCGAGCATAATTATTGGCGGCGTCCTCCTTGCCACTGATGAGTTGCTCGGGATGGTACAGCTGTCGATAGTGTCCAGAACGGATCTCGTCTGCAGGTCAAACAAGGAATAAGAACATACAGCTTCAGCGGAAATACAGGAACAACATTAATTTAATAGAAAGCCTAAATGGTGTTCAGTCTTACCAACAACTGTCGGCTCTAGATCAATGAAAACTGCACGAGGAACATACTTCCCAGCACCAGTTTCACTGAAGAAAGTGCCAAAAGAGGAGTCAGTCACAGAGCCGCCATCAGCAACAATGGTTCCATCTGGTTGGAAGCGGTGCTCCAAACAATAAAGCTCCCAGCAGGAGTTACCCATCTGGATACCTGCTTGACCAATATGTATGGAAATACACTCCCTCTGGTTTGCCCAAGACAAGACACAAGCACACACCAAAGGTCAAAACGGCAGTGAACTGCTAAAATAAGAACACCGAAAATGACCATCAGTAACCTCACCATTTTACTCAAGTGCCACAGCAAGCAGGAATTAAATCAAAGCCTTTAAACCCTAGAAAAAGAAAAGACACGTGTTCAAGCCAACCTTATCGCCTAAAGTTATTACACCTTCTGAAACAAACTAGCTCACCTCCACAGCAACACCAAGCCACTCACCTGATCTTGATTTATACTGGCCTCAGATTAGAAGGTGTGGCTCTTAATGAACTCTACCTGAGAAAACCAGCAGCCCTGTGGATTCAAAACTGAACATGCTTTATTCCTGTTAAAAACAAAGTTGGTAGTACAAGCAGATCCTAAAAAGGGCTTGCTTAATTTAATAGTTAGGCTACTTGTGTTTGTGTTTTGCACGACTAAAATATGAGTCTGAAATGACATGACTGAATCCAAGACCACCAATCATTAAAGCTTCCGATCATCCCAGCAGGGGTCACTGACTGTAGTAATAATGTGTGTGTGTGTGTGCCTACTTAACCATATTTTGGGGACAAATTTGTACCCAGAAGTGAGCAAAACCTGACAAAACCTCCATTTGGGGACGTCCTCGTTTGTAAAACTGGTATAAAAATTAATTAAACAAAGTTTTTTTTTGAAATTGTAGAAATGCAGAAAGTTTTCTGTGAGGGGTAGTGGTGGGTTTAGGTCTTAACCATATTTTGGGGACAAATTTGTACCCAGAAGTGAGCAAAACCTGACAAAACCTCCATTTGGGGACGTCCTCGTTTGTAAAACTGGTATAAAAATTAATTAAACAAAGTTTTTTTTTGAAATTGTAGAAATGCAGAAAGTTTTCTGTGAGGGGTAGTGGTGGGTTTAGGTTAAAAAGTGTATAACTATCTGTATATATAAACAATAGAAGTCTATGCAACGTCCCCATTTAGATAGCTAAGTAAACATGTGTGTGTGTGTGTGTGTGTGTGTGTGTATACACATAACTTTATTGTCATGTCACTGAATGATCTATTATGAAATATCTATTAGTGAATTATCTACATTTTTACTTTAGAGACTGCTTTATATTTTATGCTACATTCTACATTCATATAACATTACATAAAAAACAGGCACCGTGCAATTTTATTTTATTTTTTTAATTTTTATTAGACATTAAAGACATAACATGCAACATTTACAACTTTAACAAGACATCCAAAAAGATAACACAATTAAAGGAATGGGTTAACATCACATAGAAAAAATCGAATAAAATCTATAATAATACTTAAAGAAAAAAGAAAAAAAGACAGCATATAGCCGGTCAGTTTTCAAGTAACTTCAACTCTTTAGCGAATAAAATTGTATCTCTACATTGTTTGTTATCACTACACTGGAGAGACTCAAATACAAATGAAAATCAGTCATAAAGACCGTCAAACAGGGTTTAGAACTAGTTCTTGTACTTTTATGAATATGAAATTTACCAAATAAAATCATTAGAGTCATCATAAAACTGACAGATGCATTTTTTGATTCAAAATATGAGATAACATCTTTGGATATTTATAGATAGATCTTCCCAGAATTCTTTGGAGGGGTAACATTTAAAAAAAAAAAAAAGATGTAGAATTCTTAATGTAGAACTTTTTTCACCAATATCCATACATCTTGCTCAAGTATAGTTACTAACACAAATATTATGAAGTACTTTCAGATGTATTTCCCCAGGTTTGTTAGAGACACAAAACCGAAAGGGAAGAAGCCAAGCTTTTTCCCAAATAATCTCTGGAAAACAAATGCTCCAGAAAAAGTCCCCTCTAGGCTTAATAGATTTCGAATACATTTATTTGTGCATTTGTTACTGTTAACGTCCACCCCGTTTAAATTAAGAACCGTGCTATTTTTGTGCACTCTTATTTTGAAGCTATTGCGTCATTTCCGCTGGCCGTTTGGCTGTGTTCGACGCCCGTGTTGTTGCTGAGATAAGCTCGTGCGGTGGGGCTTCGCGCTAAGCGTTAGTTTGCGTAGCTGCATGGTTGCACGCGCAGCGAGATCGCCGTTCGCTGTACGTTACGTTACTGACCAGCAGCCGCAAACTTTTGGGAGATGGGGAAAAACCGCAAGCGTTTGAGAGGAAAGGGAGCAGCTCAGGCTCCAGGAGCTGGAGCACAACATGGCATGCGGCCCGCGGCGCCTCCTCCCCCTCACGGGTTCCGCGGTGCTGCTCCCGTCCGCCCGATGGGCCCCCCTGGACAGAGGTTCCCTGCGCCCCTTCGCGACTTCGGACCCCAGCCCCCCAGAACGGTGATGATGGGCAACATGGAAGAGGACAGAGGGTTTATGCGTGAGCCGCAGGGATTGACGATGGACGGTATTCCCGACAGACGTTTGGATGGACCTGATCCACATTTCCATCATCCGCCAGAGTTTGGGAACAGACCACCAGCACCGCGGTTTTACCGTCCAGAGCTTGAATATGCTCTCCATTCTCCGGAGTTTGACGACAGGCCTCCCGACTTCTGCCCGCCCGAGTTTGAAGGAGGACCAGGTTTCCACAGGATGGACCCTGGATTCGCCCGAGTGGAGCAGTATGGTCCCGCAGACCCGCATTACATGCCACAGCTGGATGTACATGTAAGTAACGTTACATGTTTGAAACCTCATAGAATTGTGGCGGTTTGCAGAAACGATTAACCGCGAGCCGGTTAAAAATCGATTCAAATATGTGATGATTCAAATCGCGATTCAATTAGGGGCCAGGAGTTTATATGAATGTACTGTCTTTAGAAAAGTGTAGATGGTATGTTTTCTTTTCATCGTGCCTCTAGGGGTGTGCGATATTGACACAAAATGATATCGCGATATTATCTGGGATTTTATCGATAACGATAATTAGACGATATTTTGCTGAGTGTGTTATTGTGCTGGTACTAATATTCTTCATATTCTGTGTGCTGGTCAGTTCATACTGATAGAAATTCATCTTTTCCAATAAGTTTAAACTGGTTTTTGCATTTTATGGGCATTTTTACCTCTATAAAGCCATTTTTTCTAAAAGTGTCCATTATCCTTTGAGTCAAATTCTTACATTTAATCAGGGAATTAGAGTAATAAGACATTTGGGCTGTTACCGAGCAAATTAAATCCACACAGAAGCTGCATCTGAAGGGGCATTTAGATGCATTCACACACGTGTATTTCGTTTAAAGCAAGACATGAATGCATTTAACCTGCAATTACAAAAGCATAAATAATGTTTTGATATATTAAACATGAAACGTTGAATACTGATATCTGAAATGATTTAAAACATGAAAAATAACAAATTAATGCATATTAAAGCTCATAAGTGCAGCGCTGCTTTGTTTACAGCCGAAACCAAGCAAATGCATGAAGCGCCACCTGCTGGCAGAGAGTGCATCTGCGTCTCGTACAGCTCGTCTGCCGTTTCGGTTTCATGTAGATATTTTTATGTAAAATGTCAAATCGCACATCATTAAAACAACAATTACGATATTATCGCAGACGATATATATCGCACACCCCTACTTGCCTCTGTATAATGCAGATTAAAGTTCATAAGTGCAGCGCTGCTTTGTTTACAGCCGAAACCAAGCAAATGCATTAAGCGCCACCTGCTGGCAGAGAGTGCATCTGCATCTCGTACAGCTCGTCTGCCGTTTCGGTTTCATGCAGATATTTTTATGTAAGGTTTCACAAAACTGAAGTCAAACCACTCTGTTTTTGCTTCAAATTTCGAAATTATACAATGTAATTTAGCATGTATGCAGCATCTTTGTTTGGATCAAGATTAAAATGCAGTGCTTGCCTCTAATTTTAAAAGGAAAGAGCACAGACAAAGCCTTAGTTTGTTTATATGATGATAAATTTATTTTATTTGTGCTACTTATTTATTTTGATTTGGGGCTTGTTTTAAAATTTCAATTTAGTTTTGTTATTTACATTTACATTATATTTAAATTTTGTAATTTAGCAGACGCTTTTATCCAAAGCGACTTACAAATGAGGACAATAGAAGCCATCAAAACCAACAAAAGAGCAATAATAAGCAAGTGCTATATTAGTATATTATTATAGTGTTATGTTTAAATTTGACAAAGAAATGTGGAGCATTTTGTCCAAGCAATAATAAAAGGACACATTTAATTCATAATTAAAAATCTAATTATGAATCAAATCAAAATCAAATCTAATTTTGTAAAAAATAAAATAAAATAAAAAATTGAATCGTGAGTTGAGTGAATCGTTACATCCCTAGTTTGCAGTCTAGTGAGCCATTTGGTCAATTACTTCCAAATAATCAAAGCCAAGTGTTTGGATCAGGAATGGAATTCGATTCTGGTTAACGGTTCCAGTTCTATAACGATTCGTTTTGTGAAATCAATAATTATTGTTGACTCAACAGTTACTGAATGCTGATCATGACACGTAAATCCTAGATAATAAAAATTCTTGCAAAAGTAGCCTATTTAACGGAGCACCTAATGCAGAGGCATAATGCGATTAAATGCAATTAATAATAGTTATTAAAACACCATAACTGTATATTAAATAAAATACCAAACAAACAAAGTATGTAATTAATTCATTAGTTTAAAGTTCAGCATTCGTAGTGAATCGACAATGAGAGATTCATAAGTATTTTTGATTCGCTAAAAAGAATGCGTTCATACGAGTCATTTGTTCATTGATTTCATTTAAACAGAACCAGACCACATACATCATTTGTTTGGAAATTGCACTGCACCACTCTGTATAAATTATACATCAGTGTCCTACACTGTTATATGTCTTTGAATCACTTAAAACCTGCCCCCACTAAAAATAAAATAGGATTTAAAAAGTATTAAAAATACTTTTAATGAATCGATCAAAAACAAGGAGTTTGCTGATTGAATTCGTCTGACGAATCCTTCATTCAATGAACTCAGAAGTCAGACGGATTAATGAATCAACGTCTTGCTGAACAGTTTCTTGATTTACAGTTATTTTCAGTAATGTTTGTCTCTAAATGTTTTTGTGTCCATCATTAATGATTGGTTCATATGATAGTGCATAATACAATTAAGCCATATATCACTCTTTTGTTATATTTTAAGACTTCTAAAGTCAACTTTGACTTCAACTTTGTTAACTTTGTGTGAAGAACAAAAAAAGGAATATTAAGTATTTAAAAATATTAATATTACAAAATAAATAAAAATATTAAAACCATTGATTTGATTTCTTTCCACAAAGCTATTGAATAACTTAAGAAAAATTGGTGAAGGAGAAAAATATAATCAAGCTGCAGAAGTGAGTGTAGAAGTATGAATAAAATAACTTTTTTTATTATAGAAGTTGTTTTTATATATAAAATTAGTCTACCGTGTGATTTTTATCTGAAGAGTGCTTTGAAGGATCAAAGTTTATTCTGGAAGACTGCAAATCATGCTAGCTTATGATTTTGTATGTACATGATAAACTTGACATTTGAAACCATATTTATCACAAGATTTATCTTTTGACCTTTTGATCTTGGTGTGTAAGCCAGTGTTTAGCATATAAAATACTGATTTCTGCTCTGCCCTAAACAATGACACATTCAAGACAAAACTTTGATATAGGGCTGCACGATTAATCGAATGCGATTGTCATGCGCATTTTGTTAGTAAAGCCGGTTCTGTAATCAGCAGGAAATCATCATCGCGTGCTTTCAGATGGAGCAGCATTTACTACAGAGAGCCATAGTTCACTGACAAGTTACGCAAAAAAAAATCGCAGACGATTTGCTGATCACAGAACCGTGCTTCACTGAAAGATACGCATGGCAATCGCAGCTTCTGTCGAATCGCGATCTTGATTCCATTTCGATTTATCGTGCAGCCCTAATTTGATACTTTCATTGCTTCAGAATAGAGATGCACGATTGCAATTTTTTTGTAAGTGTGACCTGCCGCTACCGATTGTTGCCGATTACGGCGATTTTTTTTCTAAGAACTATAATTGACCGCGTATATAAACAAAAATCAACTTTTTTTCAATGCAAAAAATGTTTTCCATATTAAATGAAATGATTAAACATTACAATTCCCCCAATCTGGAGTAGGTTACAGATGTTCTCTCACTTAAATAACTCCAAATAAAGTGCTCTCTGACTGGAAAGAGGTAGAAATTAGTTGCTGTATATAACAAAACAGATGTCATTTCCCACTATGTTTATAATTTCCCCCCCCTAACCTAATTAAATGTCATCTTTCACATCAAATTCTTAAATTTGTTTCAATTAATTCAGTTAGAATAATAAGAAACTGTAGCGTTGTTACCATTCAAATAAAATCAGTATCAATAAACTCCATCTTTCCACTGCAGAGGAAACAGAAGCTGCATCTGAACAGGGCTCGACAGTGCGAGCATTTCACGCGCATTTGAGACTAAAAATAGATGTGTGCGAACTGGAAAATGTATTTAGGAGCATGAGTGCGAATTAAGCAGGCAAACTTACACGGTAGCCTATAACAAATGTATTAATTTCTTCAATTTATTTATGGAAAAACAGCGATACAGCCTCATATGATTATTGAACTTTAAAAAGGCGACGATTTAATGTAAATAGTGCAGATGATAAGGCGGAGCGAGTGAAGGAGACGCGTTCAATGAAAGTGCACATTCGGCACTAGAGGGCGCTGCCGGAGGCAGAAATGCAGCCGTTACCCCCCGGTAACCCGGTAAACAAAGCAGCTGCGCTACTTTCTGTTTCAAACAGTCATTTAGATATTTATATTCGCTTTAGTCTTCACCATAGCACCAAATATTTAATTCTTAAAGACTTGTTATTTATTTTATTTTAATCTAACCTAAAACATGGCCTACCTATATATTGACTGATTCGTTATTATTGTTCGTGATGAGTGAGTCATTAAGTCATTCATTCAGCTGATTCCTTCAAACGGCTGATTCATTTAGAAACGAGGCAAGTGATTGTCTATATGAAAGGGTCACTGAATCAATAACTCATTCGATTCATTCAAAAACGTGGATTCATTCAGTAACGAAACACGCGCTGTTTTGCTCGGAGACGCAAAACAGTTTTGCTGTGTCTTTGATTGGAAATATTTTGGATTGCGAAATCGAGCAAAAACAGACAATATTGTGTCTAAAATGTAAGTCAATTAATTTTAACCTCTTGTTTATTTAACTACTTTATAAAATCAGTGTCACATTGCAGTCATGTTGATATTCAGGGAAACATCTTGTCGTGAAATGTTGCTTACCTATATCATATATTATTTACTGCAGTATGCATTAGGGCTGTGCAATATTGAAAAAAAATGCGATATGCGATACGATATTGACTTAAGTGTGTAAAATCAATTAAAATTATATTTTAAAATATTTAAAAATTAAAATTATTTAACAAATATATGTTTCACATTCTTTCTCGGAAAAGAAAGCATCACTACAACTTCTGAAAGTGACCAGCAGTGTTTTAGCATTACATAAAAAGTAATGTCACAAATCAGAAAATGTAATTTTAATATCAATGTAGGGCTGCACGATTAATCGAAATTAAATCGCAAAGGCGATAAATCGCGACTAGACAGAAGCTGCGATTGTCATGCTATCTTTCAGTGTAGCACAGTTCTGTGATCAGCAGTAAATCTCCATCCGAAAGCCAGAGGGCGCTCTCGCGCTGAAACTTCAAATACACCTCACAGAAGAATCCCAGGAAACCCCTATAGCGGTTGCTGAATAAACAGAAGATTTAACTGCTTTCATTAATTCAATGTGACTAATAAACACAACTATGACAATATATGGTTTATCCGAGTTCATCTTATTATAATTTTTATTATAATAAAGTATACAATAATGCAATGCTAATCGACATAGTCTTTATCACTGCTTAGAATACTATGAAATATGTTGCTTGCCTTATTCTGTGTAAGAAGCCACATCATCTCACAGAAGGATTTATTTCAAACACTCGACTGACGTTATGAAGTGAGTTTGGAGTAAAAACATGTTATTAAATGTAGGGGTCGACCGATATGTGTTTTTCAAGGCCGATACCGATTATTACAGATCAAGTAGACCGAGAACCGATATATATGTCTGATGTAAAAATGAAAATTAATGTCAAAATTAAGAATAACAAGGGCTATGACAAAAACTGCCTTCCCTGGTGTTGGTTGAGTGCAGTACTCCCACAGTAAACTCTTTATTTTAAAGAGTTAAACTCTTTATTTTTTGGCAAACAAAGGGTTTACCATTAAAATTAAAGCATGGAAGAAATAGCGTATTGTGTGATTATTCTTTTAAACAAAAGTTGTAATAATTGTTGTAGTAGTCAGGGGTCAAAGCAAAAAAAAAATATTTTGACTGAAAAATTTTCCTCGGCCAAACCCCATTCCTCAGCCATACCTGTCACACACCCAGTTTAAGAGCAGGGTTTTTCTTCTTGTAATCAAGAGCGCTTGTCCTCCTAATTTAACAAAATTGAGCACCTTCTGTAATCAAAAATTCTGATCAAAAATTAGCCTTCCTAATATGAGGTGAAGTGATTTACAGGGGCATTTTCTTTTTACCTTTGCAATGGCATCATTTTCATCTGTCAAATTCAAAGATTTATGTTTATAAGCTTTTTAAAATTTCTGTTTAAAACTATATAATAAGAAGTAGAGTAAGACAAATAAGTTACCAATCATTAAATGAAAAATTTATTTGTACTACAGAGGTGGCACAGAAGAACACAAAAGTGGCTTGTAGGTACATTTTCAGACATTCAATGAGGCTCAGAGGTGGCATGAGTGCAATTAAATTCATACATTCATGTGGAGATTAATATTTTAAATACAATTTTGAATACAGAAATATTACATTTAAATAACTGCAATTATACCTAAAAATGAAACTGAAACCGCCAGCAGGTGGCGGCAAATCACGGATTTTATCACTGAATCATTCATTCAATTGATTCGTTTGAATGGCTAATTTCATTCAGGAATGAAGCAAGTGACTGTCTTTATGAATGGGTAATCATGAATCACTGACTCACTAGATTCGTTCAAAAACGCACTTTTATTCTTGAATGAAACACCCTGCTGTGCTTTTAGAGATGCGCAGCGGCTGAGCTGTTACTTTATTTGAAACTATTTTCGTTGATGAAATAGAGCAAAATCAGTCAGTACGTGTTTATTGAACTGTTGTATTAAATCAGTGTCACATTTGCAAACTCCTTGAACAATTATTAAAATATGACACTCTCCTTATCTGTGGGCGCACAGAAAATGAGAGCGCGCGAGTGAGTTCTCA